CCCACGTCAGCTAACTCTAACCCCACCCATTAGATTCATCCCACGGTCGGCCTAGCATGAACCCTAACCCTAACCGTAACCCTAACCCTAACACCTAACTCTAACCCTACCTAATTCATCCCACGTCAGTTAACCCTAACCCCACCCGTTAAATTCTTCCCACGGTCGGCCTAACCCTAACCCTGCCAAAACCATCCCACATTAGCTAACCCTAACCCTACCCAATAATTTCTCCGACGGTCGGTCTAACCCCACCTGTTCACTTCATACAACGTTGGGCCTAACCCTAACCCTACCCTAACCCTAACCCCACCTGTTAGATTCATCTGAAGATTGGCCTAACCCTCATCACTACACAATCAGCCTAACCCTATCCCCATCCGTTAAATTCTTCCGGGCTAACCCTAACCCCACCCATTAGATTCATCCCACGGTCGGCCTAGCCCTAACCCCAACCCTACCTAATTCATCCCACGTCAGCTAACCCTAGCCCACCCGTTACATTCGTCCCATGGTTTACGTTGGCCTAACCCTAACCCTGTCAAAATCATCCCACATTAACTAACCCTAACCCTACCCGTTAAATTCCTCCGACGGTCTGTCTAACCCTAACTTAACTTATTCAGTTCATACAAGGTTGGGCTTAATACTAACCCTATCTTAACCCTATCCGATAAATTCCTCCGGCGGTCGGTCTAACCCCAACCCAACTTATTCAGTTCATACAACGTTGGGCCTAACCCTAACCCTACCCTAACCCTAACTCCACCTGTTAGATTCATCTGAAGATCGGCCTAACGCTCATCACTACACAATCAGCCTAACCCTTACCCCACCCGTTAAATTCTTCCGACGGTCGGGCTAACCCTAACCCCACCCATTAGACTCATCCCACGGTCGGCCTGTCCCTAACCTTGACGGTTGGCCTAGCCTGAACCCTAGCCCTAAACCCACTCATCCCATGTTAGGCCTAACCCTAACCCTTGGGTTAGGATTAATAGGGTTAGAATCAATAGCTTGAGTCACAATACCAAGAACAACTGTGTTCCGTAACATTTATTTCTAAGTACAGCAAAACATTACAAATTTCGGTAATTCGACAATTTCTCTTTTCTACTCAGTTTTTTTCTGATAGTAGCAAAAATGAGGTGGATGCATATTTAAAGAGAAAAATGCAAAAGTTATGCGGTGTTGACCAAGCATTCAGGCGCACGGACTCCTGAAATTCACTACAAATCGCAGTTACCGGCTTCCATATAGGACTCTTCTGGGGTCTCGGGGTTCCCGGCCCACCACACTTCCTCCCTGCCCATCCATTTAACCCCAAAAAGGTTCGAGCGACCATGCAAGGGAGGAAACGAGACAGGCCCCTAAGCCCTGGCCGCCGAGTCGGCCATACGTCTCGAACCTGTACTTAGGTGCTCACCTGGACTTCGCGGACAGTCCCAGCAGAAGAGCTTATCCAGTAGGCTAAGGTACTGTTGGTAATTTAGGAAGGAAAATTAACCACTTTATAGTGACCAGGAACGTCCATTGAAAATCAAAATGAAAACACTGGGATTCGAACCCGGACCCTCCTGATCTTTAAACAGCCAACTTAACCACTCGGCCACTTAGGACACGTGAATCTATGAACTAAAAGTACATTTACATTTTAAGGTGCACTGCAAGTGTAGCTGCTTAAAGATCAAAATTAAGAGAACGGTCCAGATATCGACTTATTAAATTAAATGAGCGTATCGCACAGCGGAACTTCATTATTATCATAACACAGGAACTTTTATTTGTGCAAATGCAAGCGTTTGAATAATGTAAGAAATGGTTACATAATTATTCAAAACTTGACAATAACAACATTATCTGTAATATCTGATGAGTTGAAATGGTAATCACAACACTATTATTTCAATCACAAACACTTGACAATCGGTGCCAGATTATGAATGTGCATGAGACTCAGGCTGGGATTCCCCGTCAGATTTAGGTGCAAAAGGGCTAAAATGAATAAACGATGTCGTGTAGACACTGTCAGAATTCTCGACTGTTTGAAATATGGGGGCGCACAAGTGCAGCAAGGGAGCAAAGAGCGCTCCGTTCTTCCTCCGTAATGCAATACTGGACAAACACAAGGGTTAAACGGGAAAGATGAGGGATTAGAAGTAAATGTTTAAAACAGGAAATAGGAGAAGAGAGGATGAAAGTCAACAATTTGTTTGAAAATACATGTACCACGAAATTGGTCCTCTTCCAACAGAAGTTGATGTTTTTTGAGGTTGCTGCTGCGTCAATGAGGACTTTTACTCCCCCCCCCTGAAAAATACCCCAGCGACTCAGAATACCTGCACACCCTCCCAGAGGGTATAAGCATCAGAACATGGCTTTATTCAAGCTTTATTTCTGCTTCCAGCTTTGATAAAAATAGATTTTGAAACTGATTAGAAGCAAGGAGGGGGCAATTTTCCTAATGTTTAGTGCAGGGGATGGGACCGTGCTTGGAATGTAGACTGCTCTGACCGAGCCTGAGTAAGGGCGCCCTCGTCTTTCCAATTCTTCCTTTTTTCTTTTTTACATGTGTCTTTCACCTAGCTTATAATTATCTTCATCAAGTTGCTACTTTCTGTTTTGACCTTGCTTCATACTTAAGTAACTTCACAGTCTCTCTTCCTGTGGGTTTCGAACAGCGTTGAGCCATACTTAACTTTCTCTTTGCATTTTCCTTCAATCATGGCTCCAGCTAAAGTCCCCTTGCCGCGGCGCACTTTGACTCACTTGACTTTCCTCATACAGTGTTGCCAAATCTCATGTTGAAAAACCCTTCAAATTCATTTCGCAAAATACTGGTACTCTAACTTTCTTGATACATTCTACTGAACCTTTGAGAAAAATTTCAGTGTCATGAAATTTCGTCCGAAATTCAAAAACTTCGCCGTCCGGGAATTGAGCAGAATTGAGCTCCCTTATGTGGCGCACTTGTTAAAAATTCAAAAATTCTACAAAATTCTTTAAAGTTGATAACTTCTAATAAAAATTTATTACCTTCAATTTCATACTTTACAACGAGTTCGTTATTCAATTACATTCGCATGGGGCACAGTTTAAAAGAGTTCATTTTCACTTTAGAAAAAAATCGGAAATCGAGCCAAAATAAAATGTCATCCGAACTTGGTAGCGGGTGAGTAAATTAGAGATTTTTGTATCTTAATATTGAGAGTTTGATAAAAAATTTCACTTACGATGAAATTTGAGGTAAAAAAGTGCTCCGACAGGGCACTTGAGTCGAAAATCAGAGTACTTCACGTTAGGGGCAGCTCTATATTGATAAATCAACACTAAGTCAGGCAGGAGAGTACAATCCTGGAAAATCCCAGTGATTAAGTACTGTTGTACGTAATTTATTTTTCATGATCGTTTGTCAGAGAAATTGTGTGATTTTTGGATTATAATGTGGCGACATGTGATTATCTGTGCTAGCCATATGTTAACTTTTGACCTATAGCCACATTACATCAATCATTGCCGTTGTCATTCGGCAATTATTACTGTGCCCACTTTTGTCAAAAAATGTCATTTACTTATACTTTGAGAGTGCTCGTCCGATTTACTTCGGGGATCTTTCATCCGCCTTCAATTGGCATGGGACTGGTCTGCTACATTAACAATCAATGGACCTAGCGCTTCATCACAAAAGCTGTTGGATCATGGATACACAGGGTGACGCTATGTACACCTGAGCGGAATGCAGGTGTAATTTACGCAAACCAGGACGGTCGCGTCTGTAGTCCAGTAGGCCGCACTTGTGCAGAAAGTCCAGGGACTAATACCATTTTTCAACTTAAAATCGAACATAGGTTCAGGACTGTGTCGGAATCTCCTTTTTTCTGTTTAAAAAATTTCTGCATCAATTGAAAAAAACAGTCGGAAGTGATTATCCGTCATTTAAAATCTATATACAAAATTATGCGAACTATTAACTCCCAGAGTTTTTTGATATGCGTTTTCAAATCGAAAACACTTTCTTGTATCCCCGTTCCCTACGGTCGACATGTCACAGCACATGGAAGTTCTTCCAACAAACGTTTGCACCCACTTATGTGCCCCGAGCGGGAGGTACTCGGGCTCCTTCGTTGGGAACTGCACTTAGCTGGTTTACGAGCGACAATGAAAAGCATACGTTGTGGTCACATCGCTATCAACAAAATGAACACTTCCCCACTAATGGCTCTTCTCAACCGTTGAGGGGGGTGCTTTCGCTCAAGGCAGTTCAAGTACGTGACCACAACCACCACTGGGGGCTTCCGCTGTCATTCCACTCTAGAAATAAAATCAAAACAGACAACCGTCGATGTGACATGACCTTGTTTTAATACAAACTGGTACAATATTATTGTCAAGTGTCGCTGACTACTGCCGTGAAAAGATAAACTCCTCTACAGGAAACTTCATTTTACTTGGAAATGTACAAGTACGCATAAAATGCCGATGCTTTTAACCCTAACCCTCCTCAATCCTCCAACAGGTGAAGGATTGAGGAGGGTTAGGGTTAATTTTCATTTCTGACACAAATAAAGACAAACGTCTGTGGCTGTGATGTCATGGTTACTGTTGTTAGGCGTGACGTGAAGCTCCCAGGGTCGATCCTTCACACAGGCCAAGCGTAAAGGAACAAAACATTTCAGCAAAAAAAGTCACTACGAGAACGTACAAAACTTACATTGACGCATAGCTGACTGCATAAACGAAATCAAGAAAACCAGGACCAAAAGAGTACAAGAGTAAACTAGCTTTCATGCTGCCGCCAATGTTTGCCATCAATTTCTTGTCTGATCCCCATGAACACCAACCAGTGCGTTAACTGTTACACAAAGGTAGCACTTTTTAGCTTATCAAATACACAGAACTCCTGTAAAAAGTAGTCAAATACATATGTACAACAGACCGAGTTCAGAAAAGTTACAGTTGAGCAACTTCAACGATTCCAAGCGTTTACACGTCTTTTCTCTAACAAACGATATTGATGTAGCTTCACCTCGACTTTAACCTCCCTTATTTGGATCTCAGTGTACTTTAATACGTATAGCTTCAATTATCCTGTAATAATTACGATCACCTTCCCTAATTTTCATCCTCGGCCACTGTACCATAAAACAAGATCGGGCCATAAGCTACGACTAGAGTCGAGGAACGTGAGGCAGACATGAGAAATCCGTGAGAGGCCCTGTGATTATTTTTTTTATACGAACCATCTGTTAATTCTTATTGTTAATCAATTATTAAAGAGTTTCACAGAGGTAACATAGCACGCACTCCCCCCTCATCCCCTGGCATGGAGTTCTACTGCTGACGAAACCAAGCGTACTTGTATGTCCAAAGCCACTGTATACAAAGGCAACTCCAAACAGAAAGGGAGGTTAAATAAAATACTCTTTCGAATGAACACGTCAGAACGTAGACTCGAATCAAGTCTAGTCAGAACGGAGAGATGGAACACAACGGTTACAATTCTTGTTCATAAGTTCTTATGTAGGCCTATAAAAGAAGGGTCCGTACAGAAATCTCTTCGCAATCATCAAACTATGCATGATATCTAGTGTGTGACCTTTCCCAACAAATACCAAAATACAGTGGAAATTGGTTCCTCTTCTCTTTTGTCCCCAACTAACGCTCCTTGGTCTCCACGGCTTCCTGTTTTTTTCTCTTTTGTCCCCAACTAACGCTCCTTGGTCTCCACGGCTTCCATGTTTTCCTCCTTATCTTCCTCTCCTGTCTCTCCTCCGGTCGCCGCCACGTCGTCACTCACTTCCTTCGCCAGCTCTTCCCCTTTGTCCTCAGACTCCCCTTCTGACGGCTCCTGGTCGTCCGGCCTTCCAGAAGATTCTGGCCGCTCGGGAGTCGCTGGCTTGACCGGACAAGGATCTCGGGAGACGGGCGGTTTGACCAGCTGCGCTTGCATTTGTCTTTGATACTACAAGAAAACAGAAATCACATCCTTGAATATCTAGTGGCGATTAGAAAATGTTCCTACACAGTGGTGTTTCCACAATTTTGTGGGCATGTCGGGCTATACGGTTTATTTTACAATTCACACTGCCCTCAGGGGTTATACTCATTGTCTCAACCATCTGTCATAATTGTTGACATATTTGGACTGTTTATACACGCAGTCTGCCCCCATGTTGCAATTAAAACACAGGATCTATTCCGTCATAGATTGGACCAATCGTAGTAAAGAGTTTTGACCAATCACAGCAAAGGACGTTGACCAATCAGAGCCAAGTGTTTTGACTAATCAGGTGAAGTGTTAAGGCACTAATGATATGTGCCAGTTTCGGGGAAATGCACATCCGTAGGTTATCTGTAGGTCACAGCATTTTAAGGCAGTCTGAGTTCCATGTTTTAGTATGTCTCAGTGTACAAAACTTAATACACTTTTTGTTGTACCGTAGGTACAGTACTTGATTCAAGTTAGGGCTTGCTTTTACTAAATTATTATTAGCGGCTACTCGTTGCTATATTCAACAGTCGAGTAACCGCGAAACCGTGACTAGCATAAACCTGGGAGAGAGGTGTTCACAACCACAAACACCCACCGTATAGCGAAGCACACTGCTCTCTGAAGATGCTAGGATAAAAGGTTGCATGCCCATGTATGAGACCAAAACCCTGAATCTTACCAAGAAACAACTTGCTCGTGACAGAAGATATCAGTAAAGAAACTATGATACCTTTATTTAAACTGTTTGTTTATATAATGTTAATCTTAAAGGTAAAGGCGTTTTTCTGTGTAATTCAGAGTTTTAAAAAGTAACATTGTATGATAGTATTAATGCTGATTAAATTATTCAAATATATTTAAACTCCATACACTAAAGTGTTGCACTTTACTGCAGTTACACATCCACTGGAAATTTCCAAATAATGCGCACAGAGCATTGAGTCTGGTGAATTTAGAATCCGTAACCCTGACCTTATAACGAAGCACTGCACTGATGGCATTGTCAAACTTGAACTTTCCTTATAATAGTTTGAAGAACACTCTCCACTACAGTAATACGTATCTGTGTGTCCACACAAAACACGCAATGCACTTTTTCTCCGATACCGTGCTCCAAAACTGTGTCCCGGCAAAATAATGGAGGGTAATTTTTTTTAATCTGGATCTGGGTTACTTGGACAACTCAGGCATGCGGGTTTACCATGACTCTGGTTTAGCAAGTTCCTAGTTAACGCTTCACTGGACCTCTTTCTGTTCAAACCAGATTTCCTTCCCAGGTACTGAAAAAGGGGTGAACTTCAGCTTTTTGTGTGAACAGTCGAGTCAATACTAAGTGTACAGAGTGTATCAGAAAACCAAGTGACAATCCAGAAGGGTACTTCGTGTCAGACAGTGAAAGTAGGAAAGATCCCAGAACTAAAAAAGTGTAAGACGTTTCACTCCACTGGACGAAATGTCGCAGTTAGTGTGTCAGTACTTTCTGGCGTTCGTTGCTTTGCTGCTCTGCCGTCCGTGCTCGAGTCGAGACTACTGCGATCCACGCTCACGACCAGCGGGAGACGATTTGTTTCTACGATGCTGCTGCCGAGAAATTGATCTGGTTTTCCTGCGTCTCTAATTCCTACATCATGGCAAGGTCTAAAGGTGGTGATCGGTGTGACAACAATTACAATTATTGTATGTACGGCTGTTTGGATGAGGGCGTACTCACAAGCGATTGCGAGTGCAACGTGCCCACCGAATACATGCCAGCTGATCCAGTCGTGCCTGCTTGGTGATATGACCCAGTCATATATGAGAACCGAAACTGAACAACGGCAACCTGATTATCGTTTCGGTTACTGAATGCAGCAACCTCAGCTGTGGCCAGCCGGGAACAGGAGTGACGGATTCCCCTAACAATTCTGCCTCGGGGAAAAATCAGCATCAAATCACATTCCTCCTTTCCATTCTGACCGTCTTCACCCATAATGCTCTGTGGAAATAAAGGATTCATTCGAGCTTTTCTATAACCAAGAGAGGCAGCACCCATGTTCAAAACATTTATCAACCTTACAATGCCATTCACAATACCGGCGTTGTGGGTGCTATGACAATGATTACTAACTACACGTACTTATATCATACTCATTCGGCCTTAACATATACAGAAACATCGTTCTGTGGCTGGCTAAATTCTTCTCTATTCGTTGATATTCCGTAGAGCTGTAATATAAGGGGAATGCATGTACAATGCATCCAATACTTCAATCAATGAAAATTTAATATCATAAAATGGTGCATAAAGTTGCTTTTACCAAATGCTTGGTTAATGACTGTTCATTAAAACTCGGGTACTTTGTGCCAAGCCAATGTTTTCTTTGACAAACTCTTTTTATGTTATTATGTATGTAGCTAGAGAAATGTATTAGCAGTTTTCTGGGGAAGCATCGGTTATATTCCTTTACAATTAATCCAAGAATACAATGTGTTTTGATGTTATTCTTTTAAGAACTCGGCGTTTCTGCGTAAGAGGGTGGAGGGTTTTCACACGCTCAGGGTTCACGATTGATTTAAAACGAAGTAAAACAAGCCCTTTCGCAGCAAATAAAAGCAAACAAATAGTCTGGAGCTTTCGACCTACATCCAATAAAACTGGTCACGGCAAGTTCCCCATGGCTGACCCTCAGCTACAAAGTTCAGTGTTTAGGATTCCACGTGACTTTACGCATGAGTAAGATCACACTGACCTGGCATGCAGTGCGGACTTTATACCCTTTTCCTATGCTAGATTTGCCAGCGGCCTTACTTTTAAACTTAACAATTTCAGAAATACATTTTGCAGAACAAAAAGAGTGTCCATCGAGCTAATTTTCACTCTTTTGCTTACATAACACACCATGGCGCATTGACTGTATCTGTTTTGAAACATACAGAACGACAACTTACAAACAGGGAAATCGAGCGATTAGGTGAAGTTTAGAGTGCCTGACCGGAAAAACTCTTCAGAGGGACTGCGCTAGATTTGGCTCAGTTTGAGCAAAATGAGACACATGTTTCTCTTGGTCATCTTGGGCTGCCTCCACGCGGCATGCGGAGGTACTGATTGCAATCCAGCTACAGGACCCGACGACGGATTCGTGTGTTCCAACCTGTCCTCTCCAATAAGCAAACCTGAATGGTACGTGTGCCTGAACGATGACTACCTCTGGATATTGACAAGCGGAGCTGACCAATGCCGTGACGGGGCGGCATATTGCTGGCGCCCGTGTTCGGTTGAAGACAAGTCCGGCAGGCGCACCTGTTCCCGGCACGAGATCTTTCCAACGCAACCCTTCCTGTCCAGCCGGTGTTACAACCCTCCCGGGAAAACGTGCAGCTGGTACCGTGAATGCCTGAACGTAAAGCAACCGTGTGACGGCTCCAAATACGACTACGCCCTGTCCTTTGGCGAGCGCTTTTGCGAGGCCTACGACAAGACCTACCACACATTCAGCGATAAAGCTAAACAATGGATCGATGCTGTTCGCAGTTGTCTTCAGGTGAAGCTGGTGTATGTCCTCCGTCCGTGGGAAACGCTAACATGCGAGGAGATACAGGCAGCAGCGTTCCGGTCACACACCGGCTGCTACCTCTCCCCTGCCCCCGGTGCACCGTCCATTTGCTCCTTGGATGCCCTGGACTGGTGGAGGATTTTTTGGACCATCAAAGGGGCATTCTTCTCTGAGACGTACCAATCCATCAAGGGCTTCTTTGACACTGCTGTGAAGGGCTGCTTATGCAGCGGGAAATCATGGTTCACCTAAGGAAAATCTTGGTATTGAGCTCCAATTTATCCTTCAGAAACTGGGGCGAGATAAAAATGAATCAAAGAAACAATGGTCTGAAAAAAATTAATTTAGACTTCGACTGAAATCCCAGGTTCACCCGAGTGGAAGCAGCCGCTACTCGGTTGTCCTAACACTTGTAGCTGTGCCCAATTGCGAGACGGTCTCGCTGGCTGACGATCAAAAGACCTTCGCAAGTGAGACTGCTCCCAAAATAGCAGAGAAACTAAAATAGGACAGCAACATGCCAGACTGGTTTGCCTTTACTCAGGTCTCAGCTAAGGCCATGAGCCTGCCAGAGTCCAGCCAAATGATCGCACTTTGGGAAGACAAAGCTGACCATAACTCCCCATCAATACCCTTCACAGACACTGTGACGGACCTCGCAGAGGCTGTGGAATCGGGTGACTACGATGACATCATCAAGACTGAGTCTTTTGAGCGCATGCAATGACCTAAAGTGCAACAACTACACGCACAGCAATGTTGGGGGAGGTCAGAGAAGCTCGCCAATCCAAAGAGATAAAGACATCAGAGGAACTACTGGCTGCATGAGATGTCAAGAATAACAGGAAATATTTCTGATTTAGAGGACCCAGGAAATGTCATCTTCATCTTTAAACTGCTTTCTGTGACCAGCTTACCCAATTTTCACTTTTTGCGGTGCCATACTGAGGTCATTTTGGTACCTTTGGAGATTCTGTGCCAACTTGCAGGAAACCCGTGTTACAGCTATTTCCTCCCTCTTTTTTGGGGGGGGTTCTGTTGTCACGTTTTTTATGTATACTTTGGTGATTGGGCACAGACTATGCAAGGACACAAAAGCCTTATGAATAATTATGAAATTACACGTTTCTAATTTCGACTGAACGAAGCTATCTGTGACAGTGATAGTAATGAAACATTAAGACTGTACTACTACAATCGAAGGGACCCTCGTCTCGGAGCTATACGAATTAATAAAGAGTTTCCGGGACACTGCCATCAGCGGATGCTTCCTGGCAATCGCAGTGCTCACTGTGTTCAAGCAAGCCTCGGTGACGGACGACCAAGACACCTTTATGAGAGAAGTTAGGGACAGCATTGCCGAGAAACTGAATAGGGGCAGCGACACTGTGGACCGGTTTGCGTTTACTAGATCGGGTCTCATCAGAGCAGACCTGGCGTTTATCAGAATCTGATCAGATGACCTTAATTTTGGGAGACAGAGTAGACCTGGGGATGTCCCGAACTATAAACCACACTTCACCCCTGATCGAGTTTGAAGGTACGGGTGTTTAGGATGTTATCGTTAAGACTGAATCTCTGAAAGCATTTATGTGTAATGATCCAGTGTATAGCCTACGGTGACGTTGACAAGGACACAAGCAGTGGATCAGACCCACCCGGAGGAACGAAGACACCGGTTTCCTTACACAGTATCTTAGGGCTGTCTTTCATGCTTCTGATCTAAAGTCCGTCTATAGCTCTTTACAATGGGTAAACAATGGGTGTCGGTAGCAAAGTGGTTAAGGTCTGTTACTCCTAATTAGAGGGTCAGGGGTTCGAATGCAGCTGTTGACCGTAAGTTGTGACCTCGGGCAAGTCGCTTGTCTCTCTCCACCCAAGAGTACACAAGGGTACCTGTATTAGCTTAGGAGCAACCTGCGCTGGACTGGCATCCCGTCCGGAGGGGAATAGGCATATTATTTTTCGGTCGTCTGATGCCAAGAAAACAGAGATAAACTTTGGCCTGATGAGCTTAATTGGCCCAAAAGAAGGCTTGCTCATTTTGTCACATTTTGGGAACCTAGGAACTACGGCCGGGGGCAGGAAATGACCTATCCTAGAAGTTTTAGCACTGCCAAGTCAAGAGTGCCCAGCCCAGTTTACAGTTACCGCTAGATTGTTCTCTTGTGAATGATCTTACTAAGAAACGTGATCTATAACGGTACCAAACATCAGCAAATATAGAATCCTCCCACAGCAAAGTGTGTCTTTCCTTGTTCCTACATAAAGCTGTGGTTTGGTCTATTTTACAAACGGCAAGATCGCTGGTTAATTCATTGTCTGATAAAATTCCAAAAAAATGGCCTTATTGTCTCTGGTATGCAAAGGCAGTAGTTACTTAGCATTATTCTAATTTTGCTTTGGTTTAATCACCCGCTGTAATTCTCTAGGAACTGTAAGATACAGAAAGTGGTCCTGCCATTCCTTCATTGCTATTCAAATATTAACGGTTGGTGGCTATCAATGCACGTACATACAAGAAATATGGCTTGTAAGAGTTTTGTGATCTCTGCAGTACAGGTGTATGATTTTCCATGCATCACTTCTTGCTAAGAGGTGGTTTTGATTACCGGGAGATACATTAGGCTTGTTTTCCTTATAAATTCTGTTGTAAAATTTGTAATCTTACATTTTGAAATGAAAAGTAAAAAAGATGTTATTCTGAACCTCTGAGGGAAAATTGTGCATTTCATTAATTAACTGTTTAAAAATTTAAATACATGGCCATGGAAGAAGTTTGCTTGCTAATTTGAAATTCTGTAGTGCAGATATTGCAAATGTCCAAAAATTAATAAACAAAAATCGTAGTTTATGGCACAACAACATTAACCCTAACCCCCTCGGGTGTCCGTAAAATCATATTGAAATTGGAGGATTTGGGACTGTTAGGGTGTAGTTGCTTGTATTCTTGCTCAATAAGAAACTGCAGAAACAAACCTTCTCAAATAATTGATGACAAGTTGAATTTACCCTCCAGAATTAAGTTTAGTTTATAGCTAGCCTGTGTATCCTTTTCATCACATGGATACGAGATGGAACTTTTTCCAAGGGATGTTCACGGCTAAGTTGTAGGTCCGTCCCAAATGCCAAATTCTGCAGTAGCATTTGACAGCTCCCTCAATCTTTACATGTGCATCAGTCGCTTTCCAGAAACACCGGGTCGGGTTTCAATTAACAGGGTAGCACAGTAACAAAGGATTATAAGGAAATGACTTCTAGTCACAGTTCATTTAACAAGTTCATGACAGTTCATGAATTCTGCTGGAAACTACGAGACTGTTACAACTCGGTCCTCTTTTTTTTTACGAAGGGCGTGTAATTCTGACATATCATCAAAACATGTAATTTCAGGTTTAGAAAATGCTGCCAGAATAGTTTTCTTGTTACTTTAAAGGACAATAAACTAGTACTGACCCCATGCTTGGCTTGAAGAATCCTGATCTCATCCTGGTAGAAGTCATAGACAAACCGTGCCATTTGGGGCATGTCACGAATGACCAAGGGTGGCTCATAGCGAGGCTCGTCTACCTGGTAAGGGTAACAGAATTGAAGAAAATCCAGTTTCACTTTTCGCATCTTGCAAATGCCCTGACATCTGCACAGTGCTACATTACTGGGAAAAAAAGTGTCTCACGACTAAAACATTCTTCATGCAAACAAGCTTCACATGTACCCAAAGTGACGGACTTTGGCCTGTAGGCAGTCTACGTTTCCATTTCTGGAAAATAATTATTTTAAAGGAATGTAATGCCAAACTTTAAACTTGGGCATGATTTGATGGTTTGCAGATCTAGGCTTTCACTTTCAAAACTTAAAAAAAATTTCAACAAGTGTTTAAAGTCATCTCAAAAAAGGTAAGACTTGAATGTTTTTTTAAATTCACAAAACTCAAAGCAAATGTTAGGGTCCTTCATAAATACATGAACCCAAAATTGGGTAACGTATTCAACTATGAAATTGTGATTATTTTTCCACTTGAACATCAAAATCCCTCCAGATGGCACACATTCATATCTTCTCCATCAGAACAAACTGTAGCAGGGAATAAAGAATAATTGAACGCTGCTGATGAGCTGGAACGCACTGGCTGTGGAAGGGGGAAACCGACTCCCTCTTTTTTGATTTAGGGGTAATACAGAGCTGCCAAGTTCTTTCGGAGTATTTCAGTAATCTCAACTCTAAAAATCAGTAACTTTCAGAGGAAATCAGTAATTTCTTTCGCAGGGCCCATTGGCTACGAAAATACTATTTTTATTTGATGCGCAATGTACAACACAGCATGTTTACATTGTACATGTATTATGGGAGTTTTCAGTATGTGGAAAGTAATATTTTAGTGAAAAACAGTTTTGAATTATATTTGCTTTGCATGCCAAATTATAAATCAAATGGACAGCCTTTGACGATGTGTGTACTTCCACAGGGCACCTGCAGCATAAGCATAGAAACCAATGTTCGCAATACAGGTAATCCAAATTCTTATCTATAACATGTGCATACCGGTACATGCTCGGTACGAAACTGCACCATCAACACCTCAGATCGAATGGTACCATTGTCTTTAGGGCGGAAAAATGTTGCTATGTCCTGATTCCCCTCCCTATCATCCTCACCTGCCCAATTTTTCACTGACTTGACATGTACATGTACTTTGACGTCCTTTGATCCCCCGTGTCTGATCGAGAAATCGCTGGAACACATTTTCACCTTTTGAAGATGCCGTGATCCATGGCCATTTCTTGTGGTATTCTTCTCTAAACGTCTGCAGCTTTTTCATGCGTGTAGCCTTAGAAGCCATTTCTTTTCCAAGAAAGAAAGACGAAGTCCGTGCGATCGTAGAAAAATCCAAGCGAGTACGGTGGCGTGGTGTTGTCATGCACAATGCGTCACACGCACGCCGTGATTGTTGCAGAAATGGGTATCACATCAATTCGGACCAAAAATAGCTCGGACCCATACCAACTCAGGCCCATATCAATGTGCACACACAATACTGCACTACGCCTTGCGATGCCGAGTTTTCCGTGCATTCGAGTTGTGTTATTGGTTGATGTTTCCCATATCAAGTTGTCCCATGTAAAAGCAGCGTTTTGTGTGTGAGTGTGTGTCGTCGGGCACCAGCCCGCCACAGGTAGTCCTATGTATGTTTCACTGGTTACCGTATCACACAATGTATATGTATATGTACAGTGTACATGTTACCGTGTGGCGTAAAATGTCCGGATCGCTGGGGAGTCGGTCTTCACATGTTTCACAGCTGCACGCGAGCGTGGAACACCGCACACGGTCTGAGTCGAGTATAAACCGTTTTGCGTGGTTTGTGCGCTGTGATATTATGCATGACCGCCAGAGGGTTTTCCGTAATTTTTGGGCGGCAGTCCGTACTCCCGTAGTCATGATCAAAATCCGTACCACTTGGCAGCTCTGGTAATAGCCCCCCAAACACTTTTGGCAGGTTCTTTAATAGAGTTACACCTTAATGCATCCTCAGAGGGCAAAATCACTGGGGTAGGCTCAAGTAAACCTTTTTCTGCATTCACTGTAACTAACTTCAAATAAAAACAGCTTCTGAGACAACATGGAGATGCTAGCAATGCGTAACCTCTACGGCTGAAACCCGATGGTCTCACAAATGCCCCTCTACTTTACAAAAAATTGTTTCACAACCATTCCTGGAGTGCTGAATTGTTGCTACATTTCAAGCCCGAGAAAGTTCTTTATCAGACTAGAATAAAATAACTGAGGCCAATCAATTAATGCAGCCGTAACAACCTCAGGAGATATTACTGTAAGCTATGGACAGAAGTGTGGCAAAAGCTTTGGTTAACAGAAGACAAAAAAGGGAGTACAGATAATGAATATATCACGAATGAAGAACTGATTACAATAGATGACCACAGCAGAACAGCAGCGCCCTCTTCAGATTGTATTTACCTTCTTAGTGGGTGGGTACATTTCACTCGGTGAAACCTGTAGGTGAAGCTGCAGAGGGCGCTCTAGTAACTGTAAGGATCAAACGAGAAATTCAGTCATTTATTACCTGCCCTTGTTAAGTCACAACAACCAGGATAATTCCATACTCTACAATTTCATCGCACTTGGGGCAAATACGAATGAGCGCACACTGAAACATGAGCAGCACGGTGCATTTGTGTTTGCCAAAGGCTTGACTGGGCGGTTCGATTGCTGTGTAAGCTTCATATATATCATGGCAGGCAAAAACTCCATGAGTCTTACAGACTCCTGGTTACTCACCAGGTTGAAAGTTGGAGAAAGCTCGTAACAGTTCTGGAAAAGCGAAACCCTGGCAAAGACATACAGGCCGAGGCGAGCACGGGACATGGCTACAACCAGGCGACGAACATCCCTGGGAAAAGTAATAAAATAACAGCCAAGTTCACTTATGACATTGTTATTAAACCTTTAGACATTGTTTGAGATTTTTAAATACCTGGCTTCGTCGCTATCTCAGGCTAATCTCTGAAATCAAAGCCTGCTTTTGGCTATAGCATTAAATCAAATACGCAGTTTGACATTTGAACGACTTATTGAGCTAACAACTTCAAAGTCAAGGGATTAAAAATCAGGCAAAGCTGGTGACAGACAAAGCCAAGTAACGGAAACCCCCATCCCTCCTAAAATATACAATGACCAAAATAAAAAAACTCACCAATTTTAAAAACAAATGAGGGATTTATATAAAAACCTTTCACCAAAAATGTGTCGCTGTGCTGTTGTATCTTTTTTACTTGGACTTACCGTGCAAAAAACACCCAGTGATCGTTCCACTGGCTTGTTTATGCTAGCCTGGTCTGTGTGGAGCGATAATAATATGAAGTGATGGAATACCAACCTGAGGTGACCTACAGCTCTCGTTCTGACCAACGACAGGAGGATGTAGTCATTCTGTTGGCCCTGAAACCTATCCACCGTAGTCACCTGAATAATAAGGGGAAAAAAATGGTCAACACTACTCTGGGAATCCATAAGAAGACCTCAATCCTTATCTTGCTGCTGATTCCTCCCAAGAACTTTGAGGTCTCATTTGTGATGTGTCATGTAAAGACATCCATTATGACTACATCTATCTAGGTTTCAATTCAATTTGGCATGGGGGTTTGTTTTCATGGTGATTTGTGGTTCGTGCTGTCTCGTGTGTCTGCCTGTGTGCCTCGAGCACATTTCGATGGGAAAAGTTATTTTCAAATGTGAAACCCTTTTACGGTTAAAGTACAAAGAATGTGCCACTGGTTTCCTGCAGAAAAGAATTTTGGAAGGATCAGGAGGTTGCTAGCAAGAATACCTGGGCCTATGAAATGATCATGAATAAACATGATTCCTTGACCTTGGCTGTATTTCTCTTTACGCTACCTTGCTGGGCTGGCCAATCAGAGGGTTGCTGGCACACCGCTGATTGATGACATCACGGATCAGGTGCTTCTGCCCATTGTACGTTGTCAATATGCTGATTTTCTCGGCCGGATACCCCAGGAGCCTCATGTACATGAAGACTGCCACCACATACTCAGCTTCAGCTAGGTTCTACAAGAAACATGAGCCAAAAAATGAGGTTTGTAAGTGGTAAGCATCACATTTCTCCTCTTATGGATTCTCTGTGTAAAAGCCAGTCAACACTTTGTGTAATTTTTATGACGTCGAATTACATATTTACACTGCGAATTCCTGAGGTTGAACAAAATTTAATTCAAGTGAATTTGGTTTCACGACATTGAACTGTTTTCACTTTGTAGTGTTCACCTGAGGAACGGACCGGTCTTAACTACCCTGCACGCCATCCAGCTGTGCAAGAGAGACAGAGGTAGTTGATAGGCTCATCTCCGGTCCATGCAGACCAGGCCTACCATGGCAGAATTTTGGTGTGACACGGTGTCTTTAACTCCTAAGCACATGAATATTCCCTGATTTCTTGTAGAAATAATCACTCACTCCGGTGCCATTACTCAGGATGCCTGTGGACTCGTTAGTGTAACTCATATGAGTGACCCACTCAAACACAACTAAATTGCATGTTGAACCCATAAAGATTGTGTTGAGGTTTTCTTGAGTCATTTCTAAGCAGAAAGTCAGATTACTCATAGCCCATCATGTCTAATGGACCCTAAGGTTGCTCCCACGAGGTTAATAAAGCTCTCTGCCTCAAGTTGAAGTACACCCTCACCGGCAAAGAAAAGCCAGGCTGGCAGGTTTCCAACTGGGCTCGTTCATATGCACAGTGCACACGCACAGATCATACAATAAACCAGACCAATAAACCAATTGGTCTTGCTTACTGTGTGCGGCCTGTGCCGACCTAGCATGAACCTGCATGTTCAGGTGGTGAGTTCCCACTAAAGGACTGTCATTGCTATGTGGACACACGCCTCTCATGTTTCAGCCTGGTGCGGATGATCAGAGGAGATGTCATTACTCGGGTCCATGCAATGTAATTATTTTATTTTATGGTTTTTACATTATTAAAATGCCAATTTCCATATTTACGAGCAAAAACTGTGGTTTCATCCCAGGTACTCAAGCTCAACATTGCATTGATTTGTGCACCAAAAACTGGCAGAATTTTTGAGGGTTTTTTGGGGCTGTATGTGGCAATAACTTTTTCTCAGAATAGTTTTCGAGGAGCAACTTTGGCAAACAGCAACACCCTACTAGTTGAAGAGACAGGCAACACCTGTTGACAAACTGTCCACGAGAAAGCTGAAACTGCAGTAACAGCTTTTAACTTCTTACTTTAGAAAGAAATTTCAGCAAGTTTTTGCCTCAGAACAAAGAGCCAAATGCAACATTTTCATAAAATGAACCAATTTCTGTCCCTCCAAACAATTTGAGTGGAGGGTTGTCAAGACTCATCAAGTCTTGACTCACCTGGTAGAAGTAGGGATTGGGCTCTGATTCCCCGACGCCATTGAAATCTTCAACGTTGATCAGCTGGAAGTCAAACTGGAAGCCGGGGTTGGTCATGTGGAACTCCCGCATCAGGTGGACATGAGGGAGGTTACCCAGCTTCTTATAGCGCCAATTGTACAGCGTGGCAATGCTGCGTGGGAAATACGGTGATGCACCAGAGCAATTCCAAAGTTATTACAGTGCTTTGCTGACGTAAAAAAAGAACCGATTCTTAAAACCTGAGAAATTAACCTAAGGATAAGAAGCTTTGCAAGATAAACAGTAAAAAGATGCCCTAACGACCAGACACTTAACAGGGCTCAGCTCTGCCATGGACATACAGGGTCCACTGTAGACGCCACATTTGACCAACAATTACAGCCTGCATGACATCTACCATACATGGGCCTTATTCTACCCTGAGCGTCCATCTTGACTGTTCGGATACATTTAATCTGCTACAGACGAAAATGACCTCTGACCTATGTCTGCTTAGCATCCAGGTCCACTGGAAGGTCTCTCCACCTTCATGACAGTGGAACTTCATCCTTGCACCTCCATAACCTCTGACCTACCTGGGCTTGGCTCTACCCTGGGCATCCAGATCCACGGTGGGCACGCCAAGGCGGACAAACCGTGTGAAGAGCGACTGCTCCATGTTGGAGTACTTCTGGAAGGCCATATTCTTGATGACAGGTGGCAGCTGGTGGTGATCCCCAATCATGATCCAGCGTTTCAACCGACTGAAACCGTCCTCTGGATTCTGCAAATGCACAAAATAACACTCTTGTTTTGACAAAACTGTCGGACCAAGATTCCTGGCATTGGTTGGCTCGAAGTTTTCGGTCGTTACAGCTTCTGTCACTTTTTACAGGGACCAGAAGTACCCTTTAACCCCATCCCCTAGGGTGTATGTAAAATCATCTGCCGGGGTACTCCAAAACCCATACTTGGGCTCTGTCCAACACAGGCTTTCAGAGCTACGGCTTTGCCTACGGTCAGCAAGTGCCAGAATATTCTCAACTAATGAAAACTTAGACCTAACTCTACACACAAGATTCCGACACGACCAAACTTTAGAGGTGAAATTTAGGTGTAACAATGACACGGTAAGAGTAACCTCCATGTGAACCTACGTGTCAGCATGTCTTGCTCGGCAATGTGTTCAAAATGTGCTACAAATCATACATTTCTTTCCGTTGAGTACAACCAACAGATTGCTACGGGGGGGGCATATTTCATGTATATGGTTGGCAAAGTCATAGCCGATACTGCCACAAGTTTCAAGTGAGTGGATGAAAGTCGACAACTTGAGGACTTTTTGACAGGTCAGGGCATTCCTTGCAGTGGAGAGAACACCAAATCTAGTGGAGTTGGAGGACAATACATGTACAAAATGCTTACATCTTCTACCTAGACAAACATCCGGAGAACTCAAGTACCCCTGTGCAGCTAGTGAATAAAATCTTGTGAGGACATTCCTTCTTTTTCCTGGAGTTCAGAACACTTGGTGGAAATACTTATTTTCTCACAATGCTAACACTCTTTGAAGCTGGATTTTTGTTGGTGACCTTGACTGGCCATCCTCCTTTTACAACAATAACCCTCACCTCAACATGCATCTAACACAGTTTTCCAGAAAAGAGAAACCTTGTGGGACCGGGCTTAGACCACACAAGGCTCACACAACCTGCATTATGTGGACCTCTTTTATTCATGGCTCCACACTTAAGTAAAATTGGCATCAGTGTTGTATTTGAATTCATCACAAGTTCATCATAAGTCATTCAGTCTTAAGCCAATTCACAAGCTACTCAAATGAACTGTGACAAAAGCATTCCTTTGTCATCGTTCACCCTGTTTCTTATGACTATAGCCTTGTAAAGGGACTTGTGAAGGGACTTGTGGAAGGACTTGTGATGGACTCGAACACAACACTGGATGGCACACAAGGGATAGGCACTGTCCGAGTACAGCAACGCTTTTTACAGGTGACCCACCTGCAGGAGTAGAGGGATGAAGGTCTCTATCTCCAGAATCTGAGCTGACTCCTCCATTAGGATGTTGTCATACTGAAATGAGCAGAAACAAATCCACATTTCAACCGGCAAAAAGTAAAATGTCAAACGTTTTATTCTTAGTAATGCTGCCTGGGGAAGAAGCTAATTCTTGGCTAAGAATTTCACTGTCTAGGAACACTTCTTTTTGATGCTAGGGGTGAAATTGGGGACCGATGAGAAATCCATGAAACATGTACCACGTGGGCTGAAATAAGATTAAAATACAGAGACTTTTCAAGGCACTGTCTCTTAGTCAATTTGCAGAATACTCACAGTTTATTAGCTAAAAAAAGCTAACAATATGTGAGTATTCTCCAAAAAGTAACACAACATGAATTATTAAACCCCTAAAAATCCAAAATTCCACAAAGACCACAACCCTGTAATACAAAGAAAGGAAAAGACAAGATAACCACCAAATCTTCCCAGATCTTTCAAAATCAATCAGGAAGTTTCAAAGGATTTTGCAGGACTTGAGTCTTTAACAACTTGCTGCCGGGTGCTTTTTTTAACCATTATATGCGCTGCCGGGCCATTTTTTCACATTTTGGTTTTTCAAAAATCTTCAACAATTCATATCTTTTTTTCTGAACGCCTAAACCCCATAAAATGGGTGTCCCGTGGCGAGTCTAGCCCTCACAAACAACTTCCATTGACCCTTCGGTTTTGCGGCCACGCCGCCCGCTCTGTATAGAGCCCCCATTGTGTAGTGTTACATAAGGGCTCGTTTGTTCCGGGCCTTGGCCCAGTGCGTTGCTATGCTGCCGTGTTGCTATGCAGAGTGATTGACGGTCAAGATCTCAGCGTGTAATATGCGGTGAGTGAATGGGAAGCTGTGCCCACATGCACTGGGCTTTGTCAACTGTTCAATGAGAGCGGGCAATGATGGACAAATGAATCATGCTGTAAAAAATGGGGTCTAAAAGTAACGGTTTTTTGCGGCACTGCTGCATATAACTTTTGCTATTTTTTTAAGCTATTGGGGTTTTTTCTGTTATATATTTTCCCATCTACCAAACTTATATCTCCCCCAAACCACTCTCATATTTTATCTCCTGACTTGTTCATTTTCCCTCCCATAGTGTAAGTTTTAGTTCAAAATGGATATGTCCCTTCCCAAACTTTGTTTCCCTAACAATTTCAAGTAAAATCTTAGAAACCAATAAAATCAAGTACACATAGAAATACACACACAGACAAATATTTGGAGAGAACTTCTTTCTCTCTTATTTTCTTCTTGTCATTTCTCTTGTTTTTCTTTTCATTTCTCATTGAAACAGTTGAACTCATAAAAGTAGTAAAATAAATGTCCACTCTTTCTAATCAAATAAAAAGCAAAATTCATAACAAAAGGCAAGAATAAGCAAACTCCTAACATCGGTGCAAGGAATGAAAAGGATGAAAATACGACATCCTCTGAGCAGTACTTTCCAGAAACTTTGTCTTTTCCGTCATTTTTTTCAAAAGTTGAAACTATGACAACTCCTAAAACTACCAGTAAATGACATATTGTTTTACACTAGATAAGTGGGGCATCAAGTCATGAAAAACACAAAACATAATGTCCATGAAAATGTCCATGAAAGTAAATGTTCAAAGTGTCAATTAGTGGACAGTATGGTACTCCTTGAAGCAGGGGGCGAAGCAGAGGGGCTGGTGGCACCTGTCGCACTCGAAGTGTGTCTTCTTTCGCTGACCATAGGAAGTGCAGAGGACACACCGCCGGTAGCGGAAGTCGCCATAGCTGGTCCTCTCAAAGTCCAAGGGAAAGTGTCAGCCGACAAAGCGGGAGTTGGTGAATGGTGGAGTATCGTGCTAAGGGCGGTACTCGGGCAAGGGCTCGTCAAACAGCAGCTCACAGACAAGACTCAAGCGGTAGTCGAGGAAGGAGAGGCAGTGACCAACGGCCAGGTACACGGCGTAGCTGTTCACCAGCGTCAAGTCGAGCAGGTTGAAGAAGAGCTTCTTGTACCACTTGAGGGACTTACGAGTAGCTCGATGATTTGCTGCTAGTTGGTCGCGCCCCCATCAGGGCGTTGTATTCGATGACGCAGGTCGGTTTCTGCTTTTCCTCCCCCGTCCTGTCTTGATTGCCAGAGCCATGGATGTCTGCAGTATGCATGGTGGAGAGCACACGGATGTTGCGCTCGTCTCGCCAGACCATGGCCAGGAGCGAACCGCTGACGCCCAGGTCGGCTGACCGGAACGCTGTTTCGCCCCACTTCAGCTTGACGGACTGCAGGTCTTTCGGCATCCCTTTTCCATTCGCAATGACGGTGCCGACGACGTTGAACTTCTGGTTGTGAAGTCGTTGAAACAAATCGGGACTGCTGAAGGCCTGATCGAGGGCAAGGTTGTAGCCCTTGCCACTTAGGTCGTTCACCAGGTCAATCACCACTTGTGTAGTTGCTGGGAGGTCTCCTTTACTTTGGCCGGTGTAGATGTTGAAGTTGTAGCAGTACCCGGCGGCACTCCCAGTGCTCTGGCACAACTTGTACATCTTGATGCCGAAGCGGGCCCTCTTTCTGGGGTTGTAGGTAGCGAAGTGGAAATGCCTGTAAAACTTCAACAGGGAGTTGTCGACGGAAATGTCCCGTTGAGAACGTAGACAGTGGCAAACTTCTGAGCAAGATGGTCGACGACTGGGTGCACTTTGAAGAGGCGGTCATCGAAGTCCTCAGGCATGGCGGTGTTGTCGTTGAAGTGCAAGGACTGCAGGATGGCAAGGAAGCGATCTCGGGGCATGACGGATGGGAATAGGCTCATCTTCAGTAGTGGGTCGGTGGACCAGAAGCTATGAAGGGTGGGGTGCTTCACAATGCCCGTCATTATGCAAAGGCCCAGAAAGGCCTTCAGTTCTCCAGTGTTCAGATCGCATGTGCGCCGATGTCGTAGCGGGCCTCTGCACGGCATACCGGTTGGTCTCTTGCACTATCTTGTTGTAGAGAACGTCATCAAAAAACAGTTCAAAGGCTTCACTGCAGGTCGAGCTGCGATGCAGGCGGGGATCGACGGCACCACCATTACTGGTGAAGCCGTACTTCAGCGGTGTACTGTCTTCATCTGTCCACCGGAACGGTGCAGCACTGCTGCTGGTCGACGCGGCGGTCTGTGTACAGGACTGTCTCTTGCGCTTGGCATATACAGCCAAGGGTACATCACTGTCAATTTCTGTACTTGACTGTACTTGAGCAGGTGACGGCGGTGATGAAGAAGACGAAGAACCTTCGTCTGAACTGAGATAAAAGTCGCTTTCACCGGAAGAACTGGACTCTTCAGCCATGTTGTCTGTGCTCTGATAACACGATACTCAATATGCACACTTGTAGCCACAGCACGGCGATTTTATTCTCAAGCAGGGAGGGCCGAGCCCTGTCAGTCAACGTGGCAAGGGCCAGCAGCACCCGGGCTGGGTCATTCATGGGGCACAGGTGCATAATGAGCCCGCACAGCCCGCGCTTTGTCTTCAGTGCAGGCAGCGATAATCCGCTACGAGCGCCCGGCAGCGCGAACAAATGCGCTCTGAATAAACAATACACGGATTACCTCCGCTAATTGCAGCGCTCTGCGCTGAAAGAATACAGGGATTGATTGGCAGTGCCCGGCAGCTCTCAGCAGCTTGTACTTTTATTCCAGGCTTTGATAAGTTCCGTCACCCCGGCTATAAAATAAAGTCCCAATTCTCTGGCCCCAGCAACCCATTATTGCCTTGGACCAATTTATTTACCTTCCAATGATGGCCTAAACTTTTTAACTGACAGCGCCAAACTTTTTAAGAAACGCCCAGCAACTTTTTTTTTTTTTTTAGTAAAGTTCCAATTTCTGAGACCTCGGCCATGAATACAAGGCCTATGCCTCCGGTCCCGGAGCCCCCGGCTGGAAGTGGTTAACAAGCAAGTCCTGTAACTAAAACACAGGGATTGAATCCCCTTGAAAGTTGAAGAAGAATGGTAGAGTAGGTTTGTATTTATTCAGCCCTGTATCAGAGGCCAACTAAAGTCTACGTCTGTCAACACTTTATCTCTTCTAAGAGTTAACAAGCTTTTATGAAAGGCCAATTATTGCTGTGTCAAGTCCCTCTGACACTTCACGTTTTAGAACCTCACCTGGAAATTGATGTCGACCAGGTCGTGCCTCTTGAGGGCGGCATGCGTGCAGGTCATGGCAATGATCTTCGCCTCCTTGATCATCAGATATTTGGAACGATCCAGCCCACTCCGTAACAACTCAAAGGCACGGAACTCCTGAACAGCAAGTGTATTGAGTGTATATATTCAGCCCCTTCTGTTCCAGAACAATACCAAGTGCATTAACCCACATTACAAAAAGCGGAAGGTAAAATGAAGACAGCAGATCTGAAGATGCTGCCAAAATAAAATCCAATGAATTCAGCTTTATATTCCTCTTTACCCACTCTCACCAAAGCCATAGTCAAACACTGTATCTTTTTACCCCCATTGACTCCATAGAAATGTATACACATAAACAAAGATGTCATCAGTAACGAGGCCTATTATTGGTCTGTCTCAAGACCACTCAAAGCACCGGTCTGTTTATATGTGCATATAACTGTCCTATGTAAAAACCACGGACCACAGCTTTTGTGAACTGAGCCAGCATAACAACATTTTCGTCACATCCAATTTTCTCATTGGGCAGTAGAGATGTTGGCTAGCAATGATGGTCTCAGACTAGAGGGATTTATAGAAGACATGAAATACATACCTCAAGCTGCTGGAAAATCTTCTTAATATGCCGGTAGCATCCCTGTAGAAATAATAAACGAATCACCGGGAGTGTTTTGGAACTAAGATTCTCTTGATCGAAGAGACAGAAAAATGTATTCTAAAATTGAAAAATGACAATAAACTTTGTTTTGTTTCCACAAACGACCACAAAATAATGAAATAATAATTGAAAAGGAGGTCGTGGTCAAGACAAGTATGTTTGCAATGGAAAACAGAGGTGATAATCATAGCAAAATGGACAGGCTTATCCACTTCAGGCAGGGCCCATTTAGTTATGTTTATTTTGCTGGGCCGTGTGATCTTTCATTTTTTTTATTTTTTTTCAAAATTCTTTGAAAATTCATATCTTCATTTACTGAACACTTATACCCACACAAATGACTGTCTGGTGGTTACTCTAATCTGACAGGCAACCTCCATTGACGCCCAAGGATTTCAGCCAGGCTTGCCGCCTTGTAAAGACAGCCCAGATTGTGCAGCGTTGCATAATTTTCTTTAGTTCCCGAAACTGGCACAGTGCAATGCTAGCGTCTTTTAAAATGCGGCCAGATTGGCGTGCAGAGGTATTGTATAGCTCATCACTGGAGTGCTGGAGTGCTTTTGTCCCAAGTGGTCACCCGCACTGAATGCCACAAACAGTGGTATACTTTTCAAAACAATGACGGATTACCTCCGCTAATGCCAGCTTAAAAATGATGGCAATTCCCAACAGCTCGGTCTTTTGTTCTGAGTATGGTCTTTTGTTACAAGGCCCAGCTCTTTTGTCCAATTTTGGACACCCCGGCTATATGTACAAACGTAAGACCTCCGGTACAAGGAACCCCGGCACGATGTGGTTACAGACGGTTTGCATCGCTGACATCTTGCAGACCAGTGCCCTTCTCCCACAGGGTATGCACAAAAGAAACAAAAAGAGGTGGCCCACCGCCATGCAAAACCTCTACACTGCAGTATCAGTGCTAGAAATCACTCTCTGGTCTCAATCCAGTTATGGCCTCTACACTGAAGCACACACAAAACATGTGGATCCCAGGTGCTACTTCACAGTGCATTTAAACCACTTTTTATACACAGAACCTGTTTTTGGACAAACTAACTTGTTTTTTCTTTCCCCAGAATTTGATTTCGCAAATGACATTCACGAAGCGAACATCATTCCCATTTCACTCTCTGGTAGACTGATTTGGAAATGAATCGAAAGTCAATACATCAATCAGCCATAACCCTTGAAATCACAGCACTGATACTGATCACAGCACAGTTCAGATATTTCATCAAAGTTGAAAATCACTTGTCTTACCTCTGCTATGTCCATGTCCTCTTCAAATGTCCGTCCCCTGAAGACTGGCTGTCGTAAAAAAAGTTTCAATTCATTTTAATTTCTTATTGAGTGGATTGCATTGCTGATGGAGAGTTTCTCCAGTAAACTCTGGACACATCTTCCTTTAAATCAACGAGCCAGCACAAGATGGTCGTTGCTGAAAGGTAATACATTCTATGGGGCCTTTCCAGCAAAGGAAATTTCATTAACCCGGAATGCATAATTTTTTACCTCACAGAATAAGACTGTTTGGTTTTCCCAAATCAAATGTGCATTTTTTCCCATTTTACCATAGCAATAAGTTTGCCAGAAATTGGAAAATCTGTGCTGGTTGAACCAAAGTACATGACTATCCTCTACGCTGCTCAATCATTAGCGTAGAATGTAAATATTTACACAAAAAATATCAGCAGTCCCTCCATGTTGGTATTCCTGAAGACAAACATCTTTTGAGAGGACTGAGCATTTGTTGCCTACCTGAGGAGCATTCTCAAAGTACTTGTGGAAGGGAAAGTGTTCCTGGATGGCTTCGGTACTCCCAGTCTTGCCTCCCGCGCTCGGCTTCACCTTACTCAAGAACTTCTCCCATCTGGCAACCACCTGGGGATGAAGCCAATCAAACAAAACCATTGTCTTAGCATTTTTGTTTCCAACCTCTGCCCTAAGAGGTGACCAGAGTTTTCACCAAAGACATTCTGACATCACAAAACTAACTGTCATAGCCACAAAAGGCAACCCATCCAAAGAATCTGGAACTTCAATCTATTCCTACAAAATTAAAGCACAAAAACTTCATTGGAAATTCTGTTAAAACCAGAGCTGAGCAAAACATTTTCAGTGCTGACAAACCTGATACAACTTAGGGTCTTTCATAAAAATGAAGGAGCAAAACAATATGAGAATGTTTTCTTTAAAAAAATTGCATTTTCGAAGACAGGTTCTAGTACCTGGTACAAGAAGAAGTGGCCTGCAGTCTCACATGTATAAGAAACATCTCCAATGACACCTAGACTTCTTTGTAGTCTCTCCACCTCTTTGAGTAACTCCAAGCGAAGTGCTAAGACATAGTTCACACGGCCATATCTGTAAATTTATACATTTCATTACTAGTGAATTCAATCTTTAAATGACAGGAAAAGAACATTTAACTCTTCACAAACTTGACTGGCTGACCAGGCAGATCTATTGATCAACCACATGAGTTTTGCTTTTCCTTGAGAGGTTTGTGAGTTCATGTTCTGTTATTTTTTCCTTCACTTTGAACTTGGAATTTACAAAATGTATATGGCCAGATTATAAATGAAACCTTATGTACTAAAATGCTGACTTTTGATCAGTTGACCAAACAGTACGTTCTGGGCAGTTTGAGAAGAACAATTAGGAAAGATTGGTTATTCCAATTGCCCAACTGTAGGCTAAAAAGCAGACAGCAGCCTTTACTATTAGTTGGGACGTCAGAGGAAAAGACACATCCACTGTACAGCAGTGGAGTGGTAAAGTCGTTGTCCAAGTCCATAGTAATCACAGCAAAACCTAAAATAGACCTGAGACCACTTGAGTCCATAACTGGAAGCAAATGCATGTAGTGTTCAGTGCTGTAGTCGTAACTATTAAGAGACCAGAAGCCAGACTCCTCCTTGTTTGAATAATGTGTAACTTGAACTTGGAGGTCTCGTAACAGGTCTTGTCATGATCTAGTGGGGTCTTGTGCTGGTCCCAAGAGGTCTCATCTACAACACTGAGCATTCCATGAAATTGCATGCACTTTCTACATCAACAAGGATTTTTAAAAAAAATTTTCCGCTGACTGAATTGTTTGAAAGTAGGCGCTAATGGTGTGAGAGGAGACTCGGGCAAGGCTCAAGATGCACTGAAGGACACTGGATGAATGCGCTTTGAAGCTTTTCATGGTGAAGGTAGCAAGTTTGTAGAGGTTTGCGGTAGCACCATGCAAGGATCTCTCTTTGTAAGTATGTGTGGTTCTGAAAAGAACCAGAGGGTACTCAACGCTTGTCCGTTGTCAAAGGTTCCGATGCTGAAGCTGCTTATATTGTGTCTGGAGGTCGTGAGGTGTGAAGAGGATGCTAACTCCGGATTCAACCCAAAGCACTCAAGCAGAACAAGGGATGCTGGCAGGTTTGCAAAGTGTGTCAGTCTGGAGGAGGGAAGCGTGGGGGAAGGTTGTCAAGGGTATTGGAGATCCAAAGACTGGGAACATGTCCTAGTGTATGCAGACCCATCAGACTGGGATGAGAGGCTGGGATGCCAGATGTCGCTGATGGTGAAACCAATGTCTTGCGGTGCCGTGCCGTGTTTGAGGATTTTGATGGCTTCTTTCATGCGACAAGGCTACCAATGTTCAATGCGGATGATGAGTTTGGTGTTGCTCCAGTCGATCTGGGGGTCTTGGGTGTGGGAGAGCTCGATGAAAGCTTGATGAAGAGAAATCCTTACAAGGTATTTCTGTAACCCTCTACACCTGAGACAGGATGAACTTATCAGTTTTCACATGTAGATGATGAAGGATGCCCATTATCATTTTATTGACTATGGACTGACTATTACGCAAGACCTCTGCACTGTGCGGAACAGTGCTGCTTTGAGTCATTCAGGTATGCTGTGCATTATTATTCAGAATTCCATGGTTTAGTGAAAAACTGATCTCACCTGCTAAAGTCCTTCTCTGTTTCCAAAGCTTCCTCCCCATGGCCAAGACGTAGCAAGTGTCGCTCATCGATGTCCAACGCCATGATCTTTTCAAACAACTGATTCAGGGCCTATATGAGAAAAACAGATGCATCCACAAATAATGTACTCCTTGGGACACTGGGACAGCGAGTGTTTCCTCTCTGCCGGCTGATGGGTCAAGACGTCGAGCGTACCTCAACTCACCTCCAAAGATCTAAAACTGCTGATCCCCTGTTTGTTTTGAACACGCACATAAAGTCTACAACGTCTGTGGAGGTGAGCTGTGTTTTGAACTGTAATTTAGCCACTATGCACGGCCTTTTGTAATAGCAAATATTCTGAGGGCATACTCCGGAGTGTTGAAAAAAATCAGGATGCGGTAAGAAATAAAGTACGATAAATACTGTTCAAATGACTCTTGGAAATCAGCATTTGTGGCGTTTGGCTGAATATCAGAACCTAGGCACTATATCTTGCCTTTTTAGAATATCAAGATTTTCAACCAAAAGTATTACTGTCAGCAAGTGGTTAATGAATTGACCGTTACGTTGTGGGTATCTGGTTATCACAACTGGTGGCAGTGGGCCGTACCTGGTTGGAGTGTGTGACAATCAACGTCCTTTGTGAAGGAAAGTTATGGTAAATGTTGGAAATGATCTGGACGGCCACGTCAGTCTTGCCCGTTCCCGGTGGACCAACAACCTTGGGAAGGGGAAAGCAGACACAACAGAATGCAAGATATGAATCAAAACTGTCACAGAATGACAAAGAAAATGGGATGAAAGTCTTTCGGGGACAACCTGTGGAAAATTCCCTCCAAACGACATTCAGAGCACAAATTCCTGAGCAGCGCATACGCTCCTTGTCCTAGCATTCAAGTTTAGATTTATCAGGATGCTTCACCTGAAACGATGAATGACCAAAACACGAAGTCTTCACTGATAAAAACTGATCCCTCCCAGCTACCTAAGACAGTATAAAAATTCCAGGATACCTCAAGATGTAATCCTGCTGCTTTGCATCCAAGGAAATAAGGATGCAATGGCATTTAAAACCCATCAGTTCCTACAATACTCAGGTTCCCCAGTGTACATGGAGTACCCATTCAATTTGTGGGAGACAGTTAATCACACTAACACAAATGGCACTACACAGACAATTGTAACCCAATGAAGCAAAAGGGGTCCTTCACGCACGTCCCAACTGCTAGTTGTAAATTAAGGGGTTTATAGAATTTGAAAAATGTAGGAACCCTTAAAATTTTTATCCACACAATGTTCAGGATGCCAAATTGAGCAACGCATCAAAAAGTTCAATCAGGTCTTTCTAATACTGACAATATGGCCTTAAGATTAATTTTTTGTGGGATTCAGCCACATCAGTATTTCTGTTCTTCCTTTAAATCATTCAGTAACATGTGCCTAACTTATCCCACCACATGCACTTGCCTATTTTCATCTGGTCTTGGAAGAACATGTTTGGCACAACACTTTGTGGAGTTAACAAAGCCTGCGTCGGTTTTACTGTTGCTGAGGTTATCACAAGACCGGTCACAAGTGACATGTTGAACAATGACAAAGGACTGCTTTGGTTGCAATTCATTTGAATATATAGCTTGTTACTTGAATTCAGACTGGAGATCCTTGGATGGTTTTGTGAAGTCTCGGGATGGTTTCAAGAGATCTCGATGACAACACCAGCTTGAGTTTCACCAATATCGCCCGTAAAGACCAGGCCAAATGATGAAAAGTCAACCTACCATGGTCAGGCCTGGTTGCATGCCAGCTTTGATGGCTTCAATCTGCGTAGGTGTGAAGGGAATGGCATTCCTGAACAGACAGACAAAAAAGAATTTCCAAATATGACTCTCAAGCCAAACCCAGCCAGGCATTTCATGTATAAAAGTTATACAGGGGAGTCCCTTCACACTGCCTGAATGTCATGGAGAAGCCATGCAACAAACAAATCCTATCAAATTGAGCAATCAAACACAGAATGCATCATACGATATTGTGGCTAGTTTTTGTAAAGCCAATTCTTTGAACTTGACCCTAGATGGGGGGGGGGAAATTACTGTTTTGAAAACAAAGACTGATAATAATGATAACAACAAATAAAAATATCAGACTCAATATTACAACGTCAAATGTACCTTTTGGGCTGGTTGTAAGGATAGGGGCCTCTGTTGGGAATCACATGAGGCTCGACAACCAATTGTTTCTGCTCCGTGCCATCATCGCCCGGTTGTTTACGTTTCTTTCCTCCACCAGGAGTGACCGGGAAGGTAATCCTGAATTAAGAAGGCAAAACATTTACAATTTGCCAAAAAGCAACAGGGCTGATTTTACAAAGTGCTGCTGCTCATTTCGATGACAATGCAGACAAGAATGAAGAAGTATCTCACCAGTGCAATGGATCTCCAAAATATTTACATGTACATCAAGTTCAGCAGAGTTGGCTCAAGAATCAGTGGCTGGACATGTTTTATGCCTGATTGCATTGACAAGAATGACGTTAGTGAACATTTTCATTCCATTGCTCGGTCCTGTTCAGCAGTCCAACTTCACACAAGCCCCCCAACAATACTGCCACAACTACAGGAAATCTGATAAAATTCTAAGTGCATTAGATCACAAAGTTGGGTTCTTCTTTGGCATCACTATGGAATAAACTTTACTTTCAAGGTCAGCAGAAGGCTATCAATAGTAAATATTTTATTCATCTGTAAAATTCAAAACTAATTTATGAACTGTTAACAATCCTTTCAGCCGAGCCATTATAACCAGTCATTTCTTCTGGCATTTTCTTTGTCACACTCAACTAGCCCTAACACCACTAAGGATTCCAATCTCAAAATGATTACAAACACATCGTAGGGAGTTAGGGTTCAATTAATTTGTTTTTTCCTACAGTTGAATCCTGTGACCATGGAAACGCTCTCACGGGTCATTTGCAATGGCCCCATCAGTGAAGAGACACTGGGTGATTCTAGAAATTTGGGGTCCAAAAGTGTGACATTTTTGTGTTTCTCTTACAACAGACCTGCGAAATGAAGTTGACTTCAAACTTCTGTTTAGTACCGTAGAATTTTCATATTACTTAACCACTTTTGGAAATTAAAGAATGCATTTTAAGTGTACAAATCATACGTCAGATATAACAGGGACACGACAAAAACTGGACCCCAAATTTACAGAATGACCAAATATTGTGATTAACCCCTTCACGCTGGGATTCTTTTGTCCGTGACTGCTGGGCTGTGGTATGCCCAGTATGCAAAGCTCTGTCCAGCACCCAGCCCACATTGAAACAGTAGGTGCATGATGAACAGAATGTATGTGAGGTATGCACTAATCCTCACACAAAGCCGCCGCTGTGGATGGCTCCTGGTATGAAGGGGTTAACCATGTACGCAGCCACTGTCCCATGAAAGTCACTCCACACAAAACCCCAGAAAATGCTGTCCAGCATGGGGGGTCATGAGCCATGTCGAGTCAAACATCGCTGGATTTGTCCATACCTAAACGGTGGTTTCTGCTTGGCAGGGTCCTCCGTGGTGACCTTGACGTCGTGGTCGGGGAAGCTGGCCCTGAGGTGGTCCAAGCTGAGGAAGGTGTCATTCCAGTCCAGCGTCGGGGTGCGGTGCTCCATCTGGGAGTAGTGGGCGGCCCCGGGGTCACCATAGCCCAGGATGATGTCATGCAGCCAGTCAGGGACGACGCAGTCCGTGTTCATCAGGTTACGAATGGTTTCCAGAACAGCCTGTAATCCCGTAATGCAGGACGTGCAAAAAGAAATGGCTTGTGAAAAGAACGATACTTTGCATACAAGGTCATCACATGCTGATGGAAAAACAAAATGTTAATGCTGGGTTCTTGACGGCCTGAAGCTGTACGACGACTCTAAACCGACTCATGGTTGCAAAAGTATCATCACTATTTGTGACAAGTTAGCTGATCAAGGCATGAATGAATCCATTCTTTGAGGGTAGAATTTTCCATTTTGAGTGGGTAAGTAAAGCAGCTACACGTCGTAGACTGTCACATCAACACATACAGAATGAGAAAAATCAAGATCTGGATTTCATTTCAAAATGAGCAAAGTAGATGGGAATGGGGGATTCGGGGAAGGAAATTTTTTTTTCCAACTGACCTTGAAATTGTTCTCTTTTGGCTTCCTTCTCATGATGATGTTGAACGACTCGTACACATCCTCCCCGCCTGCAGCAGTACCGGCCATGTCCTGCTGGTACTGATTGGGATCCAACCACACGCGGTAGGTACGCTGGGAACCAGGTAACTCTGGCCTGGGCTCAGGACCTAAGGAAGGAGATTATGTTGATTTGAATATCGAGGTGCGGTCAAATCCTTCACATCCTTTCACTAGTCCTTTCTCAAGTCCCATCCCAAGACCAGATCTACATGGCTGGGTGAACAGCGAAAATGGAGTGTCTTTAGAGTGACTTGGTTCATGACCAGATGACTTGTGATGGACTTGCAGGAATGTTTTGATGGTGTCGACCATAACAATGTTGGATATGTTGAAATATTGACTGGAAAACAACTTAATTCATTAAAACAACTCAGACTACCTCAACCCAAATTCAGTGTGGTTTTAATTTCAATAGAATATTTTGCCTTTTCCATTTTGCCTTTGCGAAAGAGTCTGCTAGGATCGAAACGTCAGGCCCTCCACATTTTGAGATTCAGTAGAATATCTTTGATCTTCCGAAATCCTCTGCTGATTAGGAAAAACTGATGCATTCCTTGTACCAAAACTTTCCGACCATATCCAATCCCAAGTGAAAATAATGATCCTGCAGAATCTGTCCAAACCTGCTGCTATGCGGGAAAACTGCACTTAGCAAACTTACAGGCTGAGCAAAACTTAGCAGAGACCCACGTCAAAAATAAATATACTATGCCTGACATTTTGGCCAGTAATCAACCTTTTGCTCAGCAAACATCTTCACCGCGCAGTGTAACTATAAGTAGTTTTACAAAATTGACCCAAAGTGATATTTGAAAGAACTGGCTACACGGTTTTAGAGCTCCATCTAAAAATGGAAATTTTCAGAATCTGAAGAGTTTTCATAGAATGTGTCCCTCCCCCATTCTTACCATCTTCGATAACTCGGCCTTCTTCATTCAGCATTCCTTCCACCTCACAGCCCCGCACATGAACTAGGCCGACCGCCTCGATGAAGTGCTCCTCTCTCAAGTTAAACTTGGTGCCGATTTTCTTGGTGGGCCTGACGCTGATGAGGAAGGCTACATCGTGCTTGCGAAGAGCTGCATACGAATGCGTACCCAACAAAGAACACATACATGTACATTGTTTTCAGTTCCTGGTTACAAATTACAAACTCACACATCAAAAGCACACTGCATACTTTAGTTGAATTTCAAGTCATTTTGTATAATTTTATTGGATTATACAGAGGCTGACGACAAATACGTTTACAACATTTAACGCTTCATTAATATAACAGAAAACTGGCGAATACGCCATATCACAGCGAATCACAGCTCATATCATAAGCTCTTTTAACAAATGCAAACATTGCCTTGGTGAATTTTTCACCTTTGCATGGAGCTAATCACATTTACTTTTTACAGCACTGTAAATGCCCAACCATCGCAATAAAGACAAGTAAGCAGCCTTTTTTTTGCAATCCACTGCAGCCCATAGAAAAGTATCAATTTCTTGTGGTAGAGCTTGACCCCGGAGGTAATGTCTGACTGTTCAATGTACCTTCCCATTCCTGCTTGATCTGTTGCCGGAGATTGAGCGTGATGGTCACGTCAGCGCGCACACTGGCCGGGTGGTTCTCACCAATGTTGGGCTTGGCGACTTCCACAACAGAGAAGGCTGCAATTGGCTGCATAGGTAAAAAGTAGTAAAATTTAAGATGATGATTAATCACAAGCTTATCTTTGGCTGCAGTCATTATGACCCAATTCTAATGTATGTATTTTTAAAAAGTGTTGATAAAAAATTATGATAGAGCACATATTGGACTGGATAGAGAGCCCCAATGAGGTCCAGGTATAAAGCTAGTGCGTGATAACATAGATTACATTGCAATAGACTGTAATCGCGGGGTACCTAATTTCAGTCATGTTCCTGAACATACTGTATACATTTGAAACCCTTCACGGGATGGTACCAGGTGATTTGGGGGGTCAGAATGAAATCAAATAATAGTCTGGTTCTTTAGATTTAACTTTTTCAAATAAGTACACTATTTTGGGGAATCTAACTGACACTGGGTCCCCCGCGAATATGGTCCATTGAAAGTTAACCCCAAAAAGGGGAATAATGTTCACACGTATTTCTATCCAGGAAAATGAATATTCATTTCACAAATTGTGGAAAAATTTCCTCTCAAAGAGAAAAATGTTCACACTCTCTTCCCCTCTGTGAGAAAAAGAAATTCACAACTTGTTTCACAAGTTGGACAATTTATTCACACCTTTGTTCACCAGTGGGAAAAGATTTTCACAGATTTTCCCACGAGTGGGGAATCATTTTCTCAACTTGTGAAAATAATGTGAAAGTGAATTCTTTTCACCAAATTTCCCAGACAGATTCACAAAGTCAACTTTCATTTGCAATGTATTGTATATTGCCCATGCAATATTTGAAGGACCTTTTGTATATGTGTACTGTAACTTTAAGTGAGCATTTCTGGATTTGTGCTGTTTGGCAATTGACTAAAGGAATTCATGTATCTCACCTGTGCCATGCGAGCCCAGCCGCCAAAGAAGGTTTCCCCATTTTCAGCAATCCAGGGCTTCATACGCAAGATCGCATCCTCGAGGTCCTGCCGAATTTCATCTAAAGTTTGAAAAAAAAGGACATATTTAAACAAGGATGGAATACAGGAATAATTTGGGGTCATAATTTATTGACAATCCAAAACACTGTTTCTTCAAGACCAAATTCATATATCTCTAAGACCTCAGGAAAATGTAAATTATAATTCTAATTTGGTTGTACGGTGATTTCACATCTTGATCTCTTACCTTGTGCAAATTGATTAATAAAAATCAATCAGGGATTTCTCAAACAACTGCTCAGGGTTAAAACCAAACATGGTAATTATTCACCATCTGACAACAGAGGTCACTGACAGCTGGAGCCCAGAACACTGAGTTTACACCGCGACCTTGCTCCGACCTGTCCTGACTCAGGCACCTACATGTACATCCACATCCCTACCCGGAGCCTCTCAGTGTGCAGTGGATGTCTTAGCAAAGCCTTTGACAGAGCGGGGAGGACAGAAAACTACTACTTACACATGGATTCCAATCTGAAGAGGTTGAAGTTTCGGAGCAGATAGTCATGGAGGGTCAGCATCTGCAGGTTCAGCTTGGGTAGGGCCAGACAACCTGGAAAGGGGGAGCCAAACACGTGCACAGAGACAGAATGAATCATTGGTATCCTGGGCCATAATGTGAGGAGAAAATTTACAAATCAATCAAAGTATCACCACAAGGGTAGAATTTAACCTCAATTCTGAGCATCTGCTCTTCATTTCAACTCTACTTGTCAAATTTATTNCGGACTTTTGCACGGCAGTGTATATTGCCCATGCAATATTCGAAGGACCCTTTGTATATGTGTACTGTAACTTAAGTGAGCATTTCTGGATTTGTGCTGTTTGGCAATTGACTAAAGGAATTCATGTGTCTCACCTGTGCCATGCGAGCCCAGCCGCCAAAGAAGGTTTCCCCGTTTTCAGCAATCCAGGGCTTCATACGCAAGATCGCATCCTCAAGGTCCTGCCGAATTTCATCTAAAGTTTGAAAAACAGGACATATTTAAACAAGGATGGAATACAGGAATAATTTGGGGTCATAATTTATTGACAATCCAAAACACTGTTTCTTCAAGACCAAATTCATATATCTCTAAGACCTCAGGAAAATGTAAATTATAATTCTAAATTTGGTTGTACGGTGATTTCCCATCTCGATCTCTTACCTTGTGCAAATTGATTAATAACAATCAATCAGGGATTTCTCAAACAACTGCTCAGGGTTAAAACCAAACATGGTAATTATTCACCATCTGGCAACAGAGGTCACTGTAAATGATAATTCTAAATTTGGTTGTACGGTGATTTCACATCTTGATCTCTTACCTTGAGCAAATTGATTAAAAAAAATCAATCAGGGATTTCTCAAACAACTGCTCAGGGTTAAAACCAAACATGGTAATTATTCACCATCTGACAACAGAGGTCACTGACAGCTGGAGCCCAGAACACTGAGTTTACACCACGACCTTGCTCCGACCTGTTCTGAGTCAGGCACTTACATCCACATCCCTACCCGGAGCCTCTCAGTGTGCAGTGGATGTCTTTGCAAAGCCTTTGACAGAGCGGGGAGGACAGAAAACTACTACTTACACATGGATTCCAATCTGAAGAGGTTGAAGTTTCGGAGCAGATAGTCATGGAGGGTCAGCATCTGCAGGTTCAGCTTGGGTAGGGCCAGACAACCTGGGAAGGGGGAGCCAAACACGTGCACAGAGACAGAATGAATCATTGGTATCCTGGGCCATAATGTGAGGAGAAAATTTACAAATCAATCAAAGTATTACCACGGGGGTAGAATTTAACCTCAATTCTGGGCATCTGCTCTTCATTTCAACTCTACATGTCAAATTTATGCATTCTATTTCAATATGACATGCAGGTCTTGGGTTATTTCCTACTCTAGTCCTCTAACAGAGCATAGTGAAGTTTTTACTACTTCAAACATCTATGAAAAGCTGTTGTGTATTAAAGTACATGTAATTATAATTTACTGCTTTTGCTTACAATCCAATTCGTCACTGAAAATTGCGTTAATATAAGCTTATGGCCGCATCAATTTGCCGTCAATTCCAATGTTTGTCTGTTCAAGCCCTGGTGCCATTAAGAATCTTCACCAGCCTTCCACATCCAAGACTTTATTAACAAACTCGTTAACAGGGACTCAGTACTTTAAAAACTACACTATCATCATGATATTGGCCCACTTAAATGAAAGTTGAGACCTCCAACACTGAAACACTTAAAAAGAAACAGATTCTGAATTTGGGATGCACTGTATTCAGAGTCATTATGGTTGTTGGACTTAAATAAATTTTCATTAACTATTTGAAGAGCCCCTTTGAAGAACCAGTGTCAGGGCCCGGTGAGCTGGGTGTTTTAGGGTGCTGAGATTTTTCAGAATTGGACAAGGAATCCCTGTCCTTTGATATCAAAGGACAGTTGATATCAACTTAAAAAGAAGATGAAAACATCCTTCAGATAGAAAAGAGCTTACCTTCTCCTGAGAAATACTCAGTGGGGACCACATTCTCGTCCCATAACACCTCCTCCGTTGGGTAGAGTGGAGTCTCATTTAGGACTTGTATCTGAGATTGTCGGCGCTCATGCCTCGACACCTAAAGACAATGGTTGAAGATTCAGTCGTGGAAATCTCAGGACTAAACACTTCTGAGACAGTACGTGAGGGCGGAAGTTTGCCGCTGATACCAAGCACTCTGGCCACTTTTTTGTCTTAACTGCTTGAATTTCAAGGTCCAGAAAGGTCAGGGGTCAAGTTTTCAAGAGGTGCTGTCTGCACCAAAATGAAGCTTGTGCAACCTTTCATGTTAATTGCGTGACATAATACATGTTTCATCCATGTTCATGTCGACCGTAAGTCGCTTTGCAAATCAAATATGTCTAGGAGCAGAGAGAACTTGTGTCATTAGTACCTAGGTTATTTCCACCACTGCTTAAACCTCAGCAAGGCATGGAAACGGCCAAGTGGTAGATAATAATCAGTGCAAAATCACTAAAAACACAGTGGGATTGGCACTGTTACAAATCCTGGGCACGTTAGGGCAATGCATGTACTGTCAGAGGCCACACCCACATACTGTGAATGCTACTATTCTTAGGAATACCTGGTATGCCAGTTTGGTAAGGACAGTATTAAGTTAACTTGATTTTTTTGTGGCAGTCACCATGTTTTTTAATGTTCCTTCAGACGTTTGGTACCCTGTCTTTCAACACTTACTTAATCGGTACTGGACTTGCAATGCCAACAATCCCCTTGTTAAATATGTAATGTGTAACTGAACACCTGTCACTTCTTTTTGATGATTTTGGCCCTGTTTACTGAGCCAGGGAAGCGAAACAGCAATATACATTAACAAAACATAACAACCATGTTAAGATGCTGTGAGATGGGGCACGGCAACACCTCCAGGCACATGTCCCTTGAATGTTGATGAATATCACACCAGGAACAAGTGAACAGCTTACCATTAGCTCTAGAAGGAACTCCTTCTCATACACTGTCTCGGTGCCTTCTGGGAGCGGGGGTAGGAGGTGAAGATGAGCAGCAAACTGGTGCAGCTGACTGGTACTATAAAGAAAGAGTAGAATGGATTAGTGGAACCTACAGGTAGTGACTACTGAAATGGGTCATTCCATGAGGTTGGGGCACAATTTGTGACGGCGTCCTTGATACATCCAAAACTCATGAATGGCAGAGTAGGTCATTTACTCTGTAAAAATAACACACACCTCTGTATTCAGCCTTGCAAGATGTATAACAAATAACTTCATTTTTACGGAACCCATGTATCAATTGATACCATCACAAACGGTGCCCCAACCTCACGGAATGACCCAATTATGACTAGATTCCTGAGGTGCCCCATGGGTTTGCTGAGAGTCATGCATAAAACATATAGGTACTGACTACAATGTTGTAGCTCCTACGACGTTGTTGGGTTGTTATATCTCCTCCTTTCTCATTCCAGTGGATAAAAAGAAGTACTATCAAACTGTTGGGCATGCACCTTGCAAGTGGCACGGATGACTAGTGTGTACAAGCAGTTGCCTTTAATTATTGTGGCTCAGGTTCAATTCCCAGCATGGGCTGGATGGAGTAGAGTGGTTCCTTGGGTCTCTCCTGTGCCACAAGGGTTTTTGGGGGGTTTCTGTCTTCCCTCTCAACAAGTCAACATCTCCAATCCCTGGTTGTGCTCTGTGATTAAACACCCATAGTCTGGTGGCTACCCAAGGAACTTTAAAAGCCTTCGGTGTGGACAAGTTTTAGCTGCATCTTTCACACTTTGGTCTTGTGGCTGTGGATTACAAGCCTCATGAATAGTAATCAAATAAAATAAAACTATACTTACGTGAGCTTCTCAAAATGACTAGACAGAGCCTTCCGGGTGTCCACGCTGGCCACGTTGGACAGAGAGAACCTCCGAAGGTCCTCAAACAACTTGAACGCTGCCCTCTGTTGAGAGAAAATAATGTTCCCAAAGGTTGAATCTTGCACGGTTGCAATTAGGGGAGAAGGAAAAGTCAATGATAAAGCAAGGTGACTTGGGGGGGGGATTTCAACAAATACTGCAAACAAGGCATGAAAAAGAACTTTGTTTTTTGGGCGAGTCCACTGTGGTAAAACATAGCAAAAGGCAACCATTACAAAACTCTACAAAAAGTCCACAATTTCCGGGTCAAAAATCCTGAAATATGGAAGTTCCATAGAAATCACATCCTTATTAAACATTCTGGTGATGAAACCTCAGATTCTTTGAAAGTGCTACAGGCACTGTAGGTGAGTGGAAAGCAGTCACAGTCATGACAGGTGGAAGGAAGACCCCTGAAGAATGTTCTAGGTAAAACATATGAAATCAGGTTGAGACTGGAGCCCCAATCCACATGTGGACCAAGCCGGGAATCCCATGCAAGGAAAGGAGCACTACGCCGACCTGATGCCCGCCTTGTCATGTTTCAGAGGAAACACCATTGGGGGATTTCTGATTGGAAACATCATCCTTCAAAGCACTCTGTGAGGGGGGTGCTGGCATACCCCGAAAATAGACATGGCACATTGGTATTGTCTTACCTGCAAGGAGCTCATCTTATCGTAATGAAGGTCAGTCATCTGGTGGTCAGTAAGAGCGGTGCCAGTGGAATCGGAGATCTCAAAACCGGTGTAGAAGGCAAGCATGTCCAGAAGCTTTGCAGAAAAGAACGAATGCAGTTGCAATTTGAGTGTTTTCCCCGCCGTAGGGGATAACAGGTGACCAACAACTCAATCCTGACAGCCAGACATCCAGCCCCCCCATCCTTTCCCTCCTCCCCTCCCCCGTACACTAAACCTACTATTAAGCTGGTGGAGGTAATGACCTTACCACTAGTAAGTCAGAAAATCCTCTTTTGACCCTTATTGTCTTTTGACCCTTATTGTCTTTTGACCCTTGTCTTTTGACCCTTATTCTCTTTTGACCCTTAATCCATTTGACCCTTATTCTCTTTTGACCCTTATTCTCTTTTGACCCTTATTCTCTTATAGCAGATGTTGGAGTATTATGACAGGTCCAGCTGAGTGAGGGTGGATTACATGTTGTGAGGAAGATTCATAGCACGAAACTAGCAAAACCCTCAATTTAACACACAACTCCTGTGAAATGTTGCAAACTTATAACCTGCCAAATCAAAATATCGTTCGCTAAGAAAAAATGCACTTCATTCATGGATTTTATTTAAATGAAACGTATTTCGAGAGGTGTACCTGGTTGAAGAGTTTACCCTCCTTCCGCAAGGCCAGCTTGGAGAGGCGACACCGTACCACCACGTGGCTATCATCCAAGACAACATTGAGAAAGCGTCTGGTGGGAAGCTGTGCCTAGTGTGACGGTGATGGTCACAAGAAATCTCTCGTTAGCACGCCATGCCTATCTAGTGAGTTGTTATGACTGAGCTTTGCTCTCCTCTGACATTAAAGATCAATCACATCGCTTTTATGGAAAAAAAGTTTTGGGGGTTCATTTCCTGCACAAGAATGCTCAGAGTAAAAAAATGCATCGATGAGGGCGGCAAACAAATCTAACCATTTGATGATGTCATAATATGGCCCTCGTTCCCCCAGCTTCTTAACCTAGGGGTTGTAATAGGGATTTTGTAGCATGATAACAGAGAGAAAAATGGCTAAAGTAAATTAGGTGTCATTCTCAGCAAATGACCACGGCCATCTGCCTGAAATTTATCAGGACATTACCCTGGTTCAAACTGGGACACTTTAACTTTATCATATGATCCACATTTGTTGATCAACATTGTCGATGTAAAAGCAATTTGAAGTCACTTTCACTGTCCGACCAGGCCTCGAAATACTACAAGCCCGGCGGACAAATTCTAGCGAAAAATGCTCCAGGCTGCAATTGCAGAGCCGTAATGTGACATCTTCAAAACAGGCTTCTATTGGATGCTCCTAACAACTTTTGTTTTCAGTTTGCCTGATGTGGAGGACTTCAACTCAGGCTTGTGATGTCAGTAGAAATCTTTATTTAGTTTTTCCATAATAGATTGTTTTAAATATCACCAAATGTCATAAAAAGTGAAATGATGAATTACCAATGATCTTTAATAAGAAGCGCATACATGTATAGGATCCACTCTGCAAAATGAGTCATGAGGCCATTGCTTTCTTTTAAGTATGTTCGTCTTAAGTTGCATGCTTAGCGGTTTGTGTTGATATATCATTCATTTTGGCAGCCTGATGAAAACGGACATTGTGTCTGTGAAAAATGTTCAAATTTCCTTTATATTTCCAGGGTGCCAGATTCTTTAATCACTCCCTGACGGGGATTCTGGATCCGGACACATATGCTTTGAATGCGTGGCTGGGGTCTCTAAACTCGGACAAAGGGAACAGCGCTTTGTAACAAAAGACCATACTCGGAACAAGAGACCAGACTGCTGGGCATTACCGACATTTTTTCACTCTCAAAAGTGGTGATAATCCAGCCTTGTTTTGAAACAGTGTACCATGGTTTGGGGCATTTAGAGCGAGTGGATTACCACCAAGGGCAAAAGCGCTCCACCACTGCAGCAATGAGCCACACAGCACCACTGCATGCTAATCTGGCCCCTATTGAAAAGAGGTCAGCAGCACACTGAGCTAGGTTCATGAACAAAAGAAAGTTATAACACTGCACAATCTGGGCTCTTTTTACAAGGCTGCAGGCCTGGCTGAAATACTCAGCTATTAATAGATTTTGTCTGTCAGGCTAGAGTGGACACCAGACAGTCCTTCATGTGTTTGTAAGTGTCCAGTAAATGAAGCTGAATGAATTTGATGAGTGAATTTTAAAGAATTTTGAAAACAGAAAAAAATGATAAATATCCCGGCCCAGCATCATCAACATTGATAACTGCCCCGGCAGGTGTAACTCAAGAATAGCTCTGGTGACTTTAAAATTACTCATTTCCACCTGTTTGAGTGCTTGGGTAATAGGCAAGGGCGAGTTCGTCCTTTTCAAGACTTTTGTTACAAATCACATTTGTTGTTGCAATAACAACACGCACCAGAAACAACAGCCACATTTTGGCAAAGGCATAATTTGTGCTATGCATATAGATTCTATTTCCATTCTCACCTCTAAATCTACCGCGAGCTCCACAAATCTCTCACAATAGTGGACTGTGCTGGCTTGAACACTGCCTGAAAATGAAAGGAATCAGAACTTCAACAAACACCCAGCATCCACATCTTCTAATGATCATTCTTATCATTAAACTTCTCTAAATCTCCCCTTTTAAATATTTTATGATAGTTTAATATGAAGAAGCTGGAACTTGAATGAACCCAACAGATATCCTTCTCCATACATTCAGGCAGCACCTCAAAACATCACCAGACGACTGAAAATCAAAGCCAAATATCACAAAGACCACAAAAACAACCTCCTTTTAGTTCACACCGTGATCACTCCAGTCATCACTGAAAATGTTTGCAGTGTTCCAACTAAAGAAGTATTTAAAAGACTACATAAAGGCCAAATATAAGCCTTTAAAGCTTGTTCACTCATTACAGTAGTGTGATGGGCCAAAGAAGAGATAAGCAGCTTTATAAGTAGAACATTGGCATTTGGCCCTGATGTGATGTTGACATTAAGGGTTATATACATGACCAAGGTGGTAACAGCAAACAATTTCTGGTTCTCCAAATGTACCTGTTTCTGGAATTGAGTCCAGAATCCTGTAGAACCGCTGTATCAACTGTGAAAGGAACTTCCTCTCAAAGTCATTCCTGAAAAATCACAACAGACATGCATCATCCCTTCCCAGCACTCAAAAGAAGCAGTTATTGATTCACAATTGGCACGAGAAGAAATTGACAAGCAGCCAACTGTTGTTAGTTGAGAAATAACATCTGATGAACTATGGAGAGGCCAGATTTTGTTTTAAATTTTTACTCAATGCCAAAACTTCTGCAGTTGATTCTAACAATGAATGAAGTTTAGAAATCTTAAAATATTAAAAATTTCAGCAAGCAGTGTGACATAACTTTCCATAATGGAACTTTCCCAGATTTTCTGTTTTCTCTTTTTCTCAAACCCCTTTCCTTTTAAACATTGTTTTTTTTTTTCAAGTTGGATGATCTCCAAATACTCAGGCAAAATGTCCTCTTACTTTGCTTTTGTTTTCTCATCAGCCTTAGCATCAGACTTCTTGATAATATTCCAGAATTTTTTGTACTTAGGATATGCCTGCAGCTCTTTCTCAAGTCGTCCCTGAAAGAATAAAAGCGTTGATGAGCATCAAGAAACTTTTGAAATAACCCAAAATCGTTTGGGACTTTGAAGATTAAAAATCTATCAAGCGTGCTGACCAATCAATGATGTCACAGAACAACCCTGGACAGCAACAGCTCCTTCTCTGTAAATGTCAAATATTTAATGTGACTTCAACTGGTGGCTGAATTCTACAATCCCAAATCTAACAAAATCTAGTGAACTTCGCATTGGATTTTGGTGGAACTCAAAATTTTTTTTCTGGTCTCCTCGTAATAGGCATCTAAGGACATTCATTATGAATACATCTGTGAGGTTTCAACTCCATACCACATAGGATTTTGTTGCTACAGTCATGTACAGGTATAAGTTGATGGCCTCAAATGTATTGGCCCATAGGCATTGAACATACATGTATCAACCAGAAAAGTTATCATGTTTGGCGGACCAGTGTTAGAAAAGTGGCATTGTCGAGAAGGGTACATCTATGACATCACTGGAAAAACTCTGACGGGCTTGGCATGAAAAATACGCTGCAACAGTATTGAACAAAATATGAAGGGAGGCGGACTCTGCCCTCCAACCCGGTTCTTTTACACTTAAACATTGCAAGGCAGAGAAATACAGAACTTACTGGCAGCAGACAGACCCACATGGGCAGAGAAACAAGGCGTTGGACCTGTTCCCTAATCAGATCAACCTCCTGCAGAATCATTCAAATGGAGAAAAATCAGCCACTGATATCTGATCTCAGAAAGAAGCATAAACCAATTAACCGAGGGTGGAAGTGGTGTTAGTCTCATTCGAGTATATGTATGAACAACAATAAAATGGACACCATGTGCACTGCACACAAATCACCCAACACACAGTTATGGTAATGTTTGGGGACCTTTGATCTTCTGAGGTGTTATTTGATCTTCAGCAGACAAGCTTGTCTTCACTATTATGCTTCACATGTGGCTCCCTCCATGAGGTTTTGCTAATGATAGCCGTAAGACTACATGTATGCGGGGTGAATATGCAATATTTGAAACTGTACCAATACAAGCCATCCAGAAGAGCTGCAATTGTAAAGGCCAAGTTAAAACGAAGCAAAAACTTGGTCATTATGCCAAGAATTGATTTCCTCTGTTGGATGGCATTTTTACAGTCTTTGGTTTTTAAAATTTTATACCGTGTCATAATGTTGTGTTCAAACACTATGGCTGCCAGGAGCTCGGAAAAATCTGCAGAAGGTACTGCTTTTAACAAACTGACTACCGGGACAGTCATGCAAGCAATGCCTGAAATGGCTACTGAGGTCTGTGGATAAGGCTAATTCAATGAGGCATGCTAATGGGAGGAACAGAAGTGGAAGTCAAAAAGTGCCAGGCTCAGCCGCGGGTGCTCTTACCAGACTATTGAAGCAGTGGATCAGGAAGCCCATGAGAATGGTCTGCTCTTTGATGCCCACCAAGGCTGCATCCTCCTCGAGACAGAGCTCCATGACGTGACGGAAGAACCCGGCAAAGTGCTCTGGCTTAGCCTTGCATGCCTTCAGATAATGGCAGCAACAAAACAAGAGAAGTGTTGACAGACACAAATGTCCCCCAACCATGACCAAAGTGTGTATCTGCCTGCAACTTGGGACCCCCTGTTGTTCCTCTTTCATTTATTAACTGTTTTTGGAAGGCCTTCCACATGTATTGTACCTGTGCATTACTTTCAATCAGGAACTCTTGGTAAATCAGGGCTCTACTGTCCACTAGTGTTTAGGGTCCTACAAAACAAAATCACACATGCGTACATGTTTGCGTTACCCACCTCACGAGGATATTTCTTGGGGTTTTTTGGTGAAGTTCAGAAAACTTGGTGAAAATAGCTGTTTTTCTTGCACTGTGAACACTCTTTTTACAATAGATTTTTGGAGACGGTGTCCTTGATTTTTTCCTGTTCTCTTTGCTACAGATATTCCTAACCCCAAAATGCTTGTAGCTGTTTTCCAGACCTGGCGTAGTCCATACAAGGTTTGCACAATCTGCAATACGAGACGTTCTCTTGGTGACAGGTCAATTACTAAGTATGTACATAAGGTTGGCACCAACACATAGGAGCACCAGTCTGAAACAGTTTGCCCCTTCCATTATTTGTCGAACGCTGCAAATTACCTCCCATGGTTGAACGCCCTCCCTGAACTTCTCGTTGATCATGACCAGGATGGAGATGACATGGGTTTTACTGGCCTTTGAAAGATAACACAAAACAAAAGGACGTGTTCAAGTACAGGTTGAAGTGTTGCACTTGACCCCATGCAGGTCACCGCGACCTCCATCCTCCCTGATCACAGATGAGACCTTGGCACTAATTTGGTGTCAGCAGTACAGTATCCATGACTTACTCAGGCTAGGTAAGCCAGGGACGACTGTGAGGCTTCCTCCAGGTGCTTATACACAGTCAAATGGCACACTGTGGAGTACCAAACCTTCAATAACATAATGCTTTGCACCACAGCAGATGCAACCATCTCAAATCTGGGAGAGTGGTAAGGATTAATCATTTGCACAAACACCGCACATTTTTCTTCCAATGAATAAAATTCCTGATCACAGCAGTCATTTATGACCTCCAAATCTGACACTTCTTCTTTCCCTTCTTAATGTACGGGGTATAATCTCAATTTTTCAAGAGAGATGAGCAGCAATGAAAAACTTCACTTTTCATGTGACATTTAGTGACAGAGGCATCCATCTAGATGTTCCAACCATGACTGCAGAGAATCAGTGCACAAGATATCTTCCCCCCCCCCACAAACTCAGGAAATTTCTCTAGTCTACTTCCCCATGGAAGGAATGTCTGCCTGTAATGTATAGCGCTTGTCTAGATGGTCACTAACCTTGTCCGGGGAGTAGTTGGGCCAGAGGTAATTCTCCAAGTATTGGCTGAACTCAAGGAGCATGACTCGGCGAATCGCAAACCTGCCGGGGCGAGACGAAAAACAATCAATCAAAAATCAGACCCGAATCAGCAAAGAGATGGTCCTCCCCTTCTTTACGAGCCCCAAGCTGGATCAAGATGGGGCGCAATATTCCTTGCAATGCAGGCTCCTACAGTGGAAACTGCACTTCGCTGGTTCACAAGTAACTATGGAATGCATGCGCTACGGTCACGTCAGTTCTCACAAAATGAACACATCCCAGCAGCTTGGCTATTCTGAACCAACAAGGTCACCTGCTCAAGGCAGTTAGCCAAGTGGACATTTGTGAAGCCGAGAATGTACAACCCAATGTGCACATGCGGGCAAGTGTTGGCTTTCAATGTGCTAACACCAGGCCAAAGAGCAGTGAGGCCCCTTCCAGTGGTCTCAGCCTACCGGTACTGTCGCCCCTTTATGGAGCCAAGGGCAGAGTGAAATACTACATCCCTTGTGGCCCTATGAAATTAAAATTTCAGGATGGTGAGCAAAATTACTGACAAAGTGTCTTGCCTGATGACACAACGCTTGACACCTTGCAAGGCTCGATGTGAGCCACGAGTAATCTAAAATTACCCATAAAACCTCAAGTCGAGGCAACAAACTTCAAGGACCAGACACAACTTAATCTTATTCTAAACCTGAGTCTCATTTATCTATTAAGATGCCCTCACAGTTGGAGAAAAACATCCTTCTACACGAAAATGAAAGGCATATATGGCTTTATCCCCAACATAAGTAAATCTAAGTAAGTGCAGAATGAAATGTGCGTAAAATCCTGGTAAATTCTGTCAAAAAAACTTGATTAAACCTGCTGAATGGGGAAACTCTAGTCTGTCTTGTCAGTCTGCAGAAGTGGTATTAGTTGATCTTCATGTTTCATACACGTACATTTGTTTACTGCTTCCTAATTCAATAAGCTTACCTGTTTTGGATGAGCTCTTTCTGGTAGACATCTTCAATCACCTTCAAGTGGGTTTTTTTTTTGTGGAAAAACAAAAACCAGAAACGTGCCAATAGTAATTAAACATAAATATCCCATAAATGAATTATAACAATGAAAAGGCCCCAGCACCATATTACAGAAGTACAGTACCTACATGTAGTTTACTTTTACATAATTTTATTCAAATATTTGAATAGCCCATCCCCGTAGAAAAACCGACAAGGTATGAACTTGCAATGTACTGTCGCCCTATAATAAATGGAAAACCTGATATCATTTGTACCGGTGCATGTACCTTTATTAATTTAAAAATTCTTTTCTCAATGCTGAAAATACAGAAGAGCCTGTAACAGAGGAAGTTAAAACTCGCCATGACAAATTTGGTACATGTATGTAGCACTGGGCAATGTCAATACCCTCTGTATTTGATTGATTCCAATTGACTTTGTACACACATACATGTAGCAACTTTAACTAGTCTATGGAGGTTGAGGATGAATGAGCCCTCAAGAGGTCACGCTGTGATCGTACGCTGTGATCGTGCGCCGTGGCCACATACCATGGACATGCTCATGTGTCTTAGCCAAGGCAAACATCACTCCGAAAGGTTGTCTCAGAGTTTTAATAAAAGCAGCCATGCAGTAAAAAACATTTTAAAACATTCATGAACAGAATCAAGCAAAGATCAGCATCTGTAGAGTCCAACTCTGACTATGTTTGTGGTACTGTATCATTCAAAAAGTAGAAGTCTCAGCCAAAAACAATACCACACTGGGGACAAGTTGACTGTGGAGTAAAAGTGGCCAAAAGTAGTTAAAGGTAGTCCCATGCTTCGTACACATACAATTACACTGTATATTTCAATCTCAAAATATACTTACAAAAAAAATATACTCTCAAAATATAGTTTGTATTCACACTTATTTCTTGAATTGAATATAAAATTATACGTTCAGTTACCTTAAAGCATAACATTGCCCGAGAGAAATAACCAAGACAATAGGAAAACTTTGCCTGATATCGCGAGTAAATGCTTGTATACGGTATTACAGGCATTGGTTTGGTTGAGGAAACTAAGAAATGGATCTCAGTTAGCATTTATTCCTTCATTAGCTGGTGGCATGTACATGTCCGGTATGTATGAACCACTTGGTGAATCACTTGGTTCTCCTGCTGGTTCTCCAGCTAAATCTCCACATGGATCTCCACCTACATGTACATCTTCATATGGTTCTCTGCCTACATCTCCACCTGCATCTTTGCCTGGAGCTTCACCTGGATCTCTGCCTGGATCTCTGCCTGGATCTCCACCTGCATCTCCACCTGGATCTCCACCTGCATCTCCACCTGCATCTCCACCTGCATCTCCACCTGCATCTCCACCTGCATCTCCGACCTGCATCTCCACCTGCATCTCCACCTGCATCTCCACCTGCATCTCCGCCTGAATCTCCACCTGCATCTCCACCTGCATCTCTGCCTGGATCTCCACTTGGATCTCCATTTGGATCTCCACCTGGTTCTTCACCTGGTTCTCCACCTAGATCGCAACCTGAATAGCCACCTAGATCTCCACTTGGATCTCCATTTGGATCTCCACCTGGTTCTCCACGTGGTTCTTCACCTTGTTCTCCACCTGGTTCTTCACCTGGTTCTCCGCCTGGTTCTTCACCTGGTTCTCCACCTGGTTCTTCACCTGGTTCTCCACCTGGTTCTCCACCTGGTTCTCCACCTAGATTGCCACCTGAATAGCCACCTAGATCTCCACTTGGATCTCCACCTGCATCTCCACCTGCATCTCCACCTGCATCTCAGCCTGGATGTCCACCTAAATGTAGATCCCCACCTGGATCTCCACTTGGTTTTGAACTGGATCTCCACTAGGGTCTCCACTTCAATCTCCACTTCAGTCTCAATCTCATTAATCAAAATTGAAACCATGAACATAATGAAATCTCCAGTTTAAGTTATTGTGGTTACATTTACAGGTATTTTACCCCAATATGTATGTACTGTAATGCCAGATTGTAATGTACCTGTGAATGGAATTAACCCTACAGTTTTTGATCTTGGCTTTGATCTCAATCTCACTCTCAATAATCAAAATCATCAACAAAAATGAAACTTCAATTTGAGTTCATGTGCCCGTTTAATTTATCTTACTTAGAAATTCTAAGTACATGTACATGTACACCACAGCACCAACTGTGCCCATGAATGGAAGTAACCCTATGAAACAATCTCCATATAGTGATGTTTAAATTTGAAAATAATCTTCCACACTTGGTCTAAGAAATTAAAGTCAAAATCAATATCGCTTAAAATCTTACTCTCTCCATTACTTCCTCACTAAATATCAGTTCATTGCTGAAGTACATGTACCCCCATTAATTCCCTAAAGCCAAACCTGATATATAATCCAATTATGTGATACTTTCCAAACTGAGTACATTTTCTCACAGGTTAATACATAAAGTTATAATTAAAATGTTTCATGTTCATGTTCACAAAGCTGTAAGCCTTTCCTGTACAATATCATGGACCTCACAGATGCAGATAATCCATGGATATCTACCATAACAGGTACTGGAATTCTCCAACAACCACGTCACCTAGTGGTCCAGTCTGTATTTGGTTAGACATGACGTTCAGACAGTTTTTGTAATTCAAATCATCGCACAGTGGAATTGGCAGACTCCAGACAATCAGACACATGTATTTAACTATCAGTGATGTACATGTATACATTAAGTTTTGCACAATTTTATTGAACCATTGTAGTGAAAATGCACTCATTGTGAGTGTAACAGACATGACACAAAATGGACTAGGCATTTGGACCTACCTACTGTTAATGATGAAAATTCTTGTGAGTTTTTGGATAGAATGCATCTGGTTTGGGTATAACATGTACATGTAGTTAAACTTTGAGGTTGTGCATTAATCATAAAGTCATCTTCTCGTTCAGTTTTACATTGTATTCTTTTTCCAGAGCTCAAAATGTAGCATACATGTAACAGACATGACACACTTAGTATAACAGACACATGACAGTTTTGTCCGATTTTGTGAGCTAACATCATTTTTCTATTACAAGGTATGGCAGATATTTTATTGTTTTCACAGTAAGGTTATCAATAGGAACACACATCATAACTGGTATTCTGTAATATCTCATATATTTTTGTACTGTCAGAGGTATTTTATTCAATATTTACAAAACAAGAAAACTATAAAGCAAACTTGCTTCTGCAAATTTCCACTTACTACCACCCACCATACCAAAACCAGAACACATTATTAGTTGATACAATGGTTTTTTTCTTTATGGCTTAGTATTTGACAGACAGTATTTATACACTAACGTAACGGACATGACACCCTCGTGAAATGAACCATACATATATTTTCACTTCTTCGTTTCAAACTTTAAAAAGAGGAAAGTAACAGCACAGAACTACGGCCTATTAATTAATGTTCTTGAACAACACATCTAAAGTTCTTTTTGCAGGTTGTCGCGATCTAACAGCTACATGTACATGGAATACAATGCTATTTAGAGTACAAGAGGTTGGAATAAGATTATGTAACAAGGGACCATGGGTAAAAAGCAAACTCTAGTTGTTTTTGTTTCTTATATACCGGGTAGCATGCAGATTTTATGAGTTACATCCCACTATCCTCAAGCAATTGAGACTGATCATCAATCTATCACACTGAGCCACAATGTTGTTCCTGCCACTTGGTGGTCATCCTGTTACGCCATTGGTATGAAAACGAAAAGTAGTAAAGAATAACGGTTGTGACAAATGTAAGGAGATTTAATCTTAACATAGAAGCTGGATTTGCAGTAACTTCATACAAATTTCATGTACGCTATGAAAACTTAACAGAAATGACACTTCTAATGTTAAAGTAATCACACAACTTTCAGGAGCAATGGCTTGAAAATTAATGAATGATATAAAAATCCATTGTGATTTTCTGTTGATATATACATATACACTGAACAACTGTGTGAAAGTCGAAGGTGGACATTTTTGGCCTTCTTAGAGACGTGAAGAATGAACTCTTCAAAACAGCCACATTTCTGTGTTATTGCAAGACATTATACAGTATTTTCATTGGTGGAAATCATTTATCTATTGGAATATGAAAATTTACACCTTACTTTTTAAGAATATTTCAGAGCTTGAACGCAATTTGAAACTTCATTTTTTCGCTGAAGTGAACAATTCTGATGGAATTTCCAACTTGAAGCTCCTAGGATTAAGACAAACTGCTCACTAAGCTGCACCTGTTCCCACTGAGGTATCACATTCACTTTGTGATGCCCTGTCAGAAAGATCAACTGAAATAACCGACGTCTCCAAGGCAGACTCCTGTCATCTGGTGGCAACTTGTCAACAGGCTTCCTCCCTCTGTCAACATGTCCGCTTGGAAGTGTCTCTGCCAAACCTCTCATCGCGCTTCCCTGGTGGCAACAGAGATGTCAGTTTGTGGGTCCACACTGCAGCATTTTAAGTCTGTACATTGCTTCATAAAAATCTCATTCACCCTCTGCATGTTTGTACTACCCTGGACTTCATCCCTTTGCAGGACGGCATCTTCATAAAGCTAACATACAGCAAGTAACTTAAAGATCTCTCTCACTGTATGCCAGCTTTTTAGGAAAACTGCAGCAGACATATCTTCAAAACAATTGTTTTTATTTTCGGAATTCTTGCTGCATCACCCAGGACAAGTAGATGTTCCAGTAATTTGAAAAATTCTGAGATGGTCAACTTGTACATACAGGGACAAGCAGGGAGGCAGGAAAGGTACATGTAGGATTAGGAACAGAAGCAGGGACCAGGCAGATCAGGTGGTAGAAGCAGAATTACCACGGCTTTGCAAGCAAGTCGGGTGGATCGGGAATTACAGCCAGAGGAACAGAAAGAATTGCTGGTTTTAAGCCCGCATGATTGCCACTGTGGGCCCAATTGTAGCCCACATGCTGGCAGTCCAATCATCAACTCTTCCAACCAATTTGGCAGCCATATGAAATGCAAGATAATAGATGGTAAGCCTCAAGCCATCAGAAAGAGCCATCAGGAAAATACCGAGCAGGCAGAACTTGATAGAACAAATGAAAAAAAATTGCCTAACAAAGGTACTGTCTAAGTGGTTTATTTTTTATCACTAAAACATAATTTTTAGGTAAGACCAACATAAAATCTCATTCATAAATACCAAAGAAAGTTTAGACATTCCTTTTTGTCAAGAGCCTATCACTTGGCCGGTCTTAAAGCCGGTTGATAAACCACTGGCTGGCTGTATGCGGTATACACCACATGCATGGCAATCTCCATATGAGAAGATACATGTAGGTTACAAGAACTCACATGAAGAACATACCAGAACATAACTAGGGGATGTTGGAAAAATTAAACTGTACAACAAAATCAAACTTAGGGTTTTAAAGTTGTTTGACTCAAAGGGTATTACGGTAATTCCAGAAATTAGGGGTCCATTTGTTTTGTGCCCCTATCACATCTGACATCTGATTTTGTAAGTGCAGAACACAATATCTAATTTCCAAGAGTGATGAATCAATGCAAATTACCTGCCAAACAAATAGTAATAACAGGGACACAAAAATTTCTGGAAATACATTTTTTATAAACGGGAATGGGCTTGGCTACTCTTAACTGCTCGTTTTGGACCACCGGCCAAGTCAAGTTCTTTGCGAGCAAAATCATGTCCCAGTTGCATAAATGAAAGGAAGATAACTTTTCCAATAGCCACCACAGGGCAAGTTACTGGTATGGTTGTTAGGCACTATACATAAATTTATACGTGAGTGCTATCATAAATTGACTGTACAAAGCTTCGGGACATTTTGATATCTTGAAACCAAGACACCCCAAAGTTTGCATTCCCCTCAAGTTCAACCCTTCGAGATTTTACTGTAGTGAATAAAATCCTGGGCATAAAAATTAAGATAATTATCTCCACAAATTTTTAAAAAGATGTGAAGTCTATTGACACAAACACAGGAGTACAAATGGGCAAACCAACTCATGAAAACACAAACAGAAAAAGTAGGAATAGGCAGGTCAGCTGGTGC